AACGCCGTGGGATTCCCCTGGAGGAGCTGGCCCAAGCAGCTGGGGAAAGGGAAGTCTGGGCCTCCCTGCTTAGGCTGCTGCCCTCATGACCCAATTCTGAATAAGCAAATGAAAAGGGATGGATGAATTAGCAACTTTTGTTTTACTGCTTACTGTTTACATGGGGCTTCATGGTGACACTGTTGGTAGTAATGTATCCTTGTAACGAGAAGTTTGCTGGTTCAATTCCTGGCTGTAGTGGTTCTGTGCAGAGTTAGCATATTCTATCTGGGTGTTATGGTTTCCACCTACAGCTGTAAAACTTATAATAGTCTTACAGTGAAATAATCACAAAACAGTCTAATGTCTCAATCATGCCGGATGGAAGGTTACATGGAAACAGATTTCCTTCTCAGCCGGCTGGGTGATTGTCAGGTTTTCACCTTTTAAAAAGGTTGAAGAGAGATGTTGTCACTGTTTACAATCTGCCCTGCATCCATACACTTCCTGGTAGCTCGGGTAGACCAGTAAGCTGAATTATTAAAGAGAAATGTTTAAGTTTCAATTTCTGTCTTGAATAGGTTCAAAACGTGACTTAAAAAAGACTTACATTGACCAAAACAGAGATGAAAAAGAAATGACGCAAGATGAGAAACCAAGGACTTCACCTGGAAACGAGCTAAAAGTTTCTTCTCCTGTTTGATTTGGGTACTGTGAAGAACACTGACAATTTCACAGCCACTGAGTTTTTAGTTGCTAGGAGAGGATGAAGTTATGATGCATTATTATTTCATATTTTCCCAACAGATTACATTTCTCTCAGACTGCACATCCCCTCAAGCTTTCTCTAGTTTCTACCAATAAAAGAAGAGACAAAGCTTTCAAGCTCTTCATGTTCCAGTCTCCATGACACTGCTTATAGCAGTGTCTAATTGAAATCAACAGAATTAAGATAAATTGAAATCAGAGTAGCTATGTCCCGTACTTCCTGCAAAGTGATTCCTGAATGCGCTCTGAAAGCCTAATCACCAACATTAGCCGTTTAGTGAAGAGGCAGCAGAGGCACCCTGACCAAAGAGGAGGTGACTAAACTCCAACAGGAGGAAAAGGTGGTGGTACCCTCTCAATGACCTATTGATTCAAACTTGGTTCAGGTGAAAGATGGGTACAACCCAGATTACAGGCGCACAGAGTCCAAGTGAGAGAGATTAGAGGGCATTTGAAAGAGGAGAAGGGAGCGGGGTTTAGCAGGATGAGGGAGAGGAGAGAGGATTATCAAAGGCCGAGTCTGGATCCTAAAATAATCCTCTCAGTGTGCTGGGCTTTCTGCAGTGTGGGGCAAAGGCCAGTTTGGTCTATTAAGTTGTCGTTTCATTCATGCACCAAACTCCGAAAGAGCAGAAATCACCATGCCATATGAGAAGACCATTCCGAAATCTGACATTTCTGTTGAGAAGGTGTTAGTCAAGTGGCTTCTGTTTCTATGCCACACACACACACACACACACACACACACACACACACACACACACACACACACACACACACACACACACACACACACACACACACACACACACACACACACACACACACACTCATCTGCCTTAATCTGGAAAGCTGGTTGAGAGCTACGTGTGTATGTGAAGCGCTAAGCGCCTGCTCCTTGCCATCCTCCATGTTCTAATTTGGGTATTGCCATGGTTACGTAAGATTGAGGGTCAGGAGGTCAGTGGCGTTGCAAGCAAACACCGGATGGCTGTTTAACAGTGTTTTGGTGCATTGTTTGCAGCATAGCATAAGCAAAGAGATGCAACAGAAGACATTTGAAATAAAAATAAGCACACAAAGGGGAGGAAGAGGAAGTTTAGAGCTGCAAAAGTAGCCAGTGGGTTTTTCCTATTGCATTCAGGAAGCCTAATAGTGCTCTATAGCATCCTGTCATTCACTGATGTCTCTGTGTGTGTTTTATACATATATCTAATTTCTTAGGAATAAGTGGGAGAGGCTGAACTTACAGAAAACGACAGACAAAAGACCCTGTGTGCACAGCAGCATTAGATCATACAGGAACAAACATCTGAACACAAAGCATACACGGGGCGTACTGACAGACGGCGTTATGATACGCACCAGGACACAACGGTGTCCATTGTGGAAACATTAGCCTCAACACGCATGCTCATCAGAAAGACAAGAGAGGAGGGGTGTGAAGGCTCTGTGTTGCTCCACTAACCTACTTACCATAATCCCGCTCTTCTCCCCATTTCATAACTGTGCCTAAGTTACATGACACACTCATCATCTCGCCCATGCCTTCAAATCAATTATTTTCATCAGAACTCTTATCAATAGGTTTGGCTTTTGTTAGGATGTTGAGTGCCAGCTGGGTTTTACTGTTTTCCATCGTGCATCCAAACACATCCAAACCTTTAGCAGAAAGAAGAATGCACGGTAGGATAAGCAACAAACACTACAACAACTTTTTTTTTGTTCTACAAAAAACAATTGAATATTAAAAATAAATGTTGATATTTATTGATCAGTTCCCCCCTTGAAGCTCAAAGCAGCAGGAAAACAAAACAAAAAGCAGCACAACAGCGAGGGTCCGCACCTAATTCCTCTGCTAAGATTAGTTAGTTAATCCTATGATATAATTACAGGTTCTGGCAATCCTGCATCAAGCTGGAGGGAAACCTGAGGACATGACTGCACTTGTGTTCTAAACATATGAATAATTCAAATGTGTCTTCTTTGTTTGAAACAAATCCTATTTAAAAGAATATTCAAATTATTTTGGGCCTTTCATGTCTGCTCAAAAGACTGACTTCTTTGTGTAATTGTATTATTATTATTATTATTATTATTATTATTATTATTATTATTATTATTATAAATAACAAACTAAATGAAGTCTGTTCCAGTGACAAATTTTTAACAACCGCAGAAATATTTTCCTTTTTGTCTGGTGTCAGCAGTGTGTCCAAAGGGGGGACTTGGGGGGGAAATGCCCTCCCTCGCAAAAAAGATGGCCACCCCAGGTGCTACCACTAAAACTGTGACACTAAAACATCTATAACAAATAAACAGAAAAGAACACAATAAATATAAAACATATGAAGAATTAAAAAATCTAATGTAAGATGACATTTTCACAGTGAAGCTCAAAAGTCTGATTTAAGTGAATGCAGCAAAGCACTACAAGCATTGGTCTCCATTCACGTTGTTCCAGGAAGGAGTCAGGTGTTGGATCGCAGAAGTCAGTTTTGTGCAAAAGAAAATGAGAAGAAAATAAAAATCCTAGTAAATAAAATGAAATTAGAATATTACCACTACTAGTTAAATAGATTTGGTTGCGGATGACTACTTCAGTGTCACTCTGCCAGCCCGACCACATTTATTCTCTTGCACATTGTGGAGTTTTATTGTGGCTAATTTGGCAGTTTGTTATTTTTGGTTTATTCGTTTTCAAAAATCACAGCAGCTGCACTGCCGTCAACAATCTGGGAAAAAATCCCGAACAACAGGTCAAAAACTCCTAACCTCTCTGCTTCACTCTCCCACACCCATTGGGCGATGTTGTAACAACCTTGTGCTGCTGTGACATTCTGTAGTTTTTATGATTTTGTTTCATGGACCAAGAGGATGTTACATTCACAAGCCATCCTATATGTGAATGCAGGGAGCCCAAGTCACACCGATCTACTTCCAGACCATGGGCCACCCACTATAAAAGTTTTTTTTCTATTCCTGTTTGATATGTGCCGTGGATTTCACATATGATGCCCGTGAATTTTAATGACACATTCTAATGCCAAGAAATTATTATTTTCAAGTGAGGCAAAACGTTATTTCAGGTTTTGTGTGAAAATACGTCAAGAACTAAAAATGTGCATCACCAAATTGACATCATTGAACCAGAAGAGCAGAGGGAAAAGGGCTGTAAGTTCAGCAAACTTTGAATCCTTCATTCAGGAGGAAGGAACCACCATAGATCTGGCTGTGTGGTAAGTAGCAGCTTTGCTAGAACAGAGGAGAGTCAAGTGTTGTGCTTGAATGCGTCTGCTGAACGCTCAATCGAGAACTCATATTTTTTGTGAACGTGAACTGAACTTGCTCGTATTTTGTCTGAGTCTGAAAGTGTGAGCACTTTCTTGCATAAGTGAACGGGTTTATGACTTATGAATGGCGCTCAATTGCCGTTTGAGCTCCAGATCTCCACTGGGCTAAAGCCTTAGCTAAACGTCCTGTTAACCATAGACTTCATAAAAAAGCAGACCCCAGAAATGTGGCCGCCATAGGCAGTAGTGGTCGATGCATTGTCTACTCTCTTATGCCAATGCTGTGTGGAGGACGGGCGTCATGGTGTGTTACAATTATCTCGGAAAGAATACAATATACACTGTACATAACATTGATTTTAGATGCACCCTTACAAGCTTATCTGGTAAAATAATCATGTTTCCACCACAGCTTTAGGCACTGCCATACTGACCCTTGAAGTTGATTGAAAACATATTCTCTGACTTGGGGGGATGTTCCAGTTCCTTATTTCTAAGTATGCTAGAATTGACTGGAATGAACCAGGGAAAGCATCAAATCTGAACATAAAAATTTATTTTTTGAAAAAATAAATAAATAAATAAACCTGACTTTACAATGTCAGAGAATGTACCAATTTTACAGTAATATGATGAATGTAAGCATTTATTCAGGAAAACATGTCGTAGATGGTTACAGTAATAAAATTGCATGATTGGTACAATGCTTGACCTTATTTTGGTTTACAGTAGTCAATTATTGTTATTAATATTCGGTGAATTTGTAAAAATTACACACACACACACACACACACACATATATATATATATATATATATATATATATATATATAATCTGTTTTGTCATTTATTAGCTAAATGACAAAAATTAAACCAACCATGTTATTTTAGTCGATCAGTTCCCATGCTGAGTGACTCCGAACTGACACACTGCCACACTTTCCCACGCACGCGAGCACCTCCTTGCGCGCTGGGGGCGGCGCGCGCTCGTCAGCTCACGGGGCACGAGGCGGGCGGACCTCAGGGTGAGGATCATGTGTAGTCCACGCGCCGAAACTGGGTTAGTGAGAAGCGGAGCTGGAAGAAGAAGCTGGAAGAAGAAGAGCTGCTGCCACTTTATGTAATTTAATCTCAGCCGCTCGGAGCTGAGACACTTTGCAGGCGCTAGACAACAAAGACGCGTCGCTTTTAGTACGATTTGAAGAGAGAGCAGGAGAAAATCCATATGAGAATTCGTTGTTGTGATAGTTTTCAGCTGCTCCGGTTTGGAGCGAATAACAGAAATTGTCCTGCGCTCTGGTGGTTGTTTTGTTTTTGGTTTGTTTGCTTCTCTTGCTCGTGGAGTTACATGTCCCAAAGAGTCCAATAGACCACCGCCAACATGAGAGGTGAGTTTGGGAGAATGTTTCAAATTTTCAACCTGACAGCCTGGTGTTTGTGCACAGCTTTTGCCGAGGAGCTGCTTTTGTGGCTGACCGAAGTGCGTCAACTTCATGCGCGCAGCACACCACCAAGCATGCATAAAAATAAAATTGTAGCGTTTTTTTAACAGTCAGTTAAAATATAACAGACTTAGATAATAGTATGCCTGTAATCGGTCCGTTTGGATAAATTGCAGTGGATTAGATTTTGTTTTGCCTGTAGCCAAAAGAAATGCTTTACCTTGTTTCTGCTACTTTTTCACCTGTAAGCCGCTGACTCCAGTTATGTAAGACTGGGGGGAGGGAGGGAGGGAGTGATTCATGCGCTGTCAAGTCGCATTAAAATCTGCTGGCATTGGTTGTTGTTAAATCGGAGTCTCATTTCTTATACGTTTATTTATTTATCTGTTTTAATAATTCGTTATATATATACAATTTCTAATACGTGGTATACTTTGTGAAATTAAAATAAAAAAATTCTGCTTTATCTTTTATCATTTGTTTGATAAGAAAACATGTTATGCGTAAAAATGCGCCGCTGTGGCTTGATTTCACTATCACAGGTCCTCGTCAGCCATTTGTTTTGTTGTCAGTATCAGAAGTATGGAGGCCGTGATGAGCAGGGAGAAGAGGCGCTCCATTGACCTAGATCTGTCATTAAAGATTACAGCAAGGGTGTGTGTGTGTGCGTGCGTGTGTGTGTGCGTGCGTGCGTGTGTGTGTGTGCGTGCGCGTGCGTGTCATTACGTTTGAAACATTGAATAACTAGGGAGTCGTTTTAAATCCATCAACAAGCTTTATCAGATTTGTTCACAAATGGCACATTTTTTCATTACATTTTTGCCATTACAAAGATTACATTTCTTTTTAAATACATTTTTAATATATAACTTAATAAGATGAAGTCATAGTTTAGTTCAGGGGCCTCCAATATGGTGCCTGTTGGCACCATGGTGCTCTCAGGGGCTGTATAAGGTGCCCATAGGCCTTTTGTCCAAAAAGCACAAGTCTACAATAAACTAAAAATATTTTTGCTGCAATCTTTTTAGTCAAATATACATTAATATAAATTTACAATTTCCAAAATTCTTTAAAAGCAATAAATTAGGTTTATTATACATGAAATTTAGTTTAAATCTAATCTATATCAGTTCAACGGTCAGTATTGTGTCAACCTGGTATTCTTTGTATGGCTCAGTACCCCTGATTAGCTCTCAGCATCACATAGGCTGGTGACCACTGCGTTAGTTGTTTCAAGACATTGGATCATCACGCACTGCTGCTAGAAGCAGGAAATGAGCACAGCAAGCCCACGTTTTAACCATGAAGCAATGCAGCAGTCAGTTAAGCACATCTTCCTTTTGGCTAAGGCTACCATCATCAACTGATGGGTAAATATTTGCATTTAAGCATGAGTTGTCCATCTTATTTTGATAAAAACATTATTTGGGGTAAAAACTGAAGCACTGGATGAAGTTTCAGGGAACTTTTAGGTACTACGATCAACTGAACAGCAAGCTTCCATCTGAGCTTAGCTCTCTGTCAAAAAGCCATGGTGGCTTTATAGAGGAGAGTTAACTTTGCTCTCCAAGGACATCACTGTGCAGAACTCAGCCTCAAAGCCACTATCTGTTAAGAGATTGGGGCCTTGGGGATGGTAACAGCAAGTTACAGTATGTGTCAAGGTGCCCTTTCTCTCTGACAACTGCATAAAGATTATCATACTCTTAACTAAAGTTTTAACTCTTAATTTACAAAATCTGGCATCTCTGTTATCGTGTGTTTTGCCTGCAAACAGATTTCGTAAACTGAATGCTTTATTCCTTATTTAGACTTCAGTGTAAATGTGGATCCAATTTGATTGGTTATATCTACTTTCAAAGTATGCATGAAGATAATGGCAATAAGTGAAACAGTCAGAGTTTAACTCAAGGTTACTGTTGTTGCTGTAGAGGCGATAAACTTGACTCCAGCTTGGTCTTGTTGTGTTGCAGAGGCCCATTTTAGTTTGGAGAAGATCTTGCAGCACAGACAAAGTAATGCACTTCATTTCATGCAAAACTCCCCATTAGCATCCTTTTGTACTGCCATGCGGGTCTCTACTGCCTCTGTAAACACTGAACGTGAAAAGAGGAGCAGCTGCTCTCCTCGTAGCCCTCGCAGACATCAGAGCTTCTGAGCCTATAGCAGCCCGAGTAGTAGGCGTGGCCAGCTCCAGCTTGTTTTTTTTCTGAAAGATCCCCGAAACAGCAAATTCTGGAATGTACTAAAACTGTTGAGACAAAAACTGCTGAAATTGCTTTATTTGAGAAGGATTTAGAGCAAAGAAATTAATGAACATGTTTTGCATCGACCATAAAACTATTATCACTTAAGAAAAAAGTCACCCTTTAACAGTGGTGTAGCATTACATTGCTTTCACAGGCCTCTCTTGTTCATGTGCATAATTATAAAAAGAGAAGTTAGAGAGCAGACTTTTAATTGCATAGAGTAAACTTCATGCAGCCCATAAAAACCAATAAATCAGACGATTGTGTGTCTTCTGTCCCCGGTTTTAATGCAGAATTTGTGTTTATTCTGGTTCCATTGCATTTACACCTGTCATGCATATTTAAACTGTGTGAGGTTAGCAGCAGGACATTTTAGATTACCTTTGTGTTCACCTACTGAATCTGTAAAGACAACAGGTGACAGAGTCTTGGGTTCACACGTTAAGGAATTATTTTTCAAAAAATAAGTGCGTCTGTTCTGTAGCCGCTACGTGATACTTGTACACTTTTCTCCTAAACGGTTCCCTAAAGGTTCTAAGAAATGCAGCTTAAATGTAGAGCGTGTCAGGGAAACGTGAAGTGCAAGGTAAATAAGACATTGGACTCTGTTTGATTAGCCAGGATAGGAGGACAAAGTCTCAGCAGCTCAACGTTTATAGCACTGGTGGAGAAAGTGTCGGCTGACAGAAACTAAAGCACGCACAGGAAAACCAGCAGGTGTGACTTTAAGTTTTTTATTGTAGAACTGTGAATTTCTGCTTCTGGTTTCCTCAATTGTGACACTAATTTCTATAGCAAATGTCCTCTATTAAAGCCACTAATGAATGTGTAAAAGAGTAAAATGAAGCACATTGGCATTTAAAACACACAGGATCATCTGTTTGAACACATGCTGTTATGAATGCTTCTGATAAACTAATAGAAATGGTATTTCATTCCGTTTTTACAGGAAGGAACGATTAATGGAAGTTTTCCAAATGAGTCCCACAAAGAAGAAAAAAGCTTTTGTTTTTACTCGTTTGGAGTTGCGTTACAGTCACACATTTTTCTTCACGCTTAGTTCAAGAAATGCTCAGCTCACTTTTATTTAAAGGAGGATTCAGGTGTTGTGAATCGTGCAACAACCAGACTTGCAGAGAAAATCCTCGGCAGTCGATTCCACCAGAGTAAAAATAGATTGATGGTCTAGCTGAGACACAGCTGACATTACACAGAAATAGTTGGCATGCTGCAACTCGTTCAGGAGCTACTATGAGCTTATCTGCCCCCCGCCGACATATAGTTAATATTTCTGCAAACATTTCCTAATGTTGCATCACTTGTAGAGTCTATAGTGTTACAGCGAGTCTCTGGTCATCTTGTTTCATTGACTAATCAAATCTCGCTGTTGCTGGTTGAAGCCAAATGATAACATCCACCATCTCCCTTACTTAAAGACTGAGCCGGATTTGGTTCCACCTTAAAACCTGCAAGAAACCAGATTGTGTTTCTTGTAAAGTTGCCATGACAAGTCCCGCCTACCCCCTTTTCTAAATGTAAACTGTGTCAGTGGAGCAATTCCTGTTCAGGCCGTACTCAGCTGACTGGCAGGCGAGACGTCAAGTCACAGGAAAAGCCTCCCGCTCGGAAGCCAATCGGAGAGCAGTAAGACGAGGGAGGACCGTTGCCCGGACAACCACCTCTGAATGCGTGTGTTCATGGAATGCACCAGATGGGAGTTATATAACAGACAGTAGGGAGGCGGGGTGGAGTGGGATGAAGGAAGCAGTAGAGAAAAGCTTTATTTTGCGCCTTTATTTATTTATTTTTTTACGTATTTCTCATTTACGTTTTGTTTGCTGGGATATCTTTTCTGTATTTCAGGGGAAAACACAGAAATGTTTTTACACGTTTCTTTCCCCCTGAGCCAGAACCACAGGACAGTGTTAGTAACAGCTTGTGCTTTTGCTCAGTCTGTGACGCACGTCATTCCCCACGCAGAGTGACTCGTGATTGATTGGATTTGAGGATTTTTTAAATGAAAACATCGTTAAAAAAGCCCCAACAATTTTCTGAAGAGCTGCGAAAACCAGTTTAATCCTATTTTGTGATTTAGCCGGTTACCTAACACTCCTTTGTGACCTAACTAAAAGGTTTTAGTGATTGTTTGGCTTGTTCTAGATAAATACATTTTTTCTACAGCAGTGCGTTTCACTTGCTCTGTGGGCTACAAACATCAACGTAGTGCTGGGTGTTCGGATTGGAGCTACAAGCGCTCTGTCAAGACGCAAGAAGTCAAACCTTTTCTGATCCAGTCATCTGTTAAACATCTCTAAAGATTAATTTTTGGTCCAATGTTTCTCATTTGCATGAGCATCGTCTGCTTCACTTGCAGCAAAAGATCACTTGGTGTTTTCACTGAAGTTTGGAGCTTTCTTATTTTAACCCTTTAACTCCCTCACCGAGAAATAAGCGATGAAAATGTTCCACTTTTGCATTTTTGATGTAGGGCAGTAAGGGTGTTAGTTTAATGTAAATGAATTGTTTTAATAATAAAATAATAGAAATGATATTAAGGTACAATAAATCAATGTAATGTTGAGCCTTTTCCTCAAATAAACTCCACATTTTTGAGAACTTTCTTAAAAAACGTTTTCTTAAGTTCATTTATTGCCTCAGTGTGATGTAGGGACTTTAGAAATGCTCTACCAATTGGTTGAGCAGGCAGGGCAAAGGGTGCAGTTGAGTCTAGAGCAGTAGAAGCTTCTCCCGTTTTCCTCGTCCAGACCGTTTGAGACGAGCTTTTGAAACAAACCGTTTTCACTTTAGTTTAATTTTACATTATAACAACAAACCTTTTCTAAAATCTCATTATGTCTGTCTTACTCTAAAAGAACTGCAGTCAACCATCATGACCATCTGAGCAGACTTAAGGCTGCAGGGCTCTAAGATCCAGACGAAGCCTCTAATTCAGCGTTCATTTAGTAATCTGCTAACTTTTTGCTCATCTTGAATGAGGAGCATCGGAGACTGGTGAAACTTTATAACCCCAGGCCTCAGCTAATGCAATTGACCTGCTATTCTGGGGTTGTGGAGGCCCGGCTACTTAGATAAACAGCATAATGAAAAGAACAGGCTGTTCTTGATTAAGAAGGCTCAGGCTTCCACTCCAAGCACGAGATGTATAATGTATGCACAGTTCGGTTTGCGCTCTTGACACTTCTCTGGTTTCTTTGCAGTCTTGCAACATAATGGGATTTTTTCCCATTGTTACTATCGTTGCTGCAGACACCATGATGCACAAACGACATCCGACATCCGTCTCACACAATTGTTTATCTGACAGAAGTAACGCTGTACCGAATGCGAGGAGCAGCATTTCATTCGTGGTGATGGTGGACTTGTTTGAGTTTAAAATCATGGCCGTCCAGAATAAATATTGATTTGTTATAAACCGCCAGCCTCGTTTTACATGGTTGAAGAGATTTATTGATCGTAACACTTGTTAGTGCGTCAGCCCTGCAAAGCAAATGTTGAACTGCTTTTTTTTTAATTTTATTATCCAACAATGGGCTTGATTAATAACTAATTGGCTGTGTTTTCATGCAAATAGTATGTTTCCCAGTACAAAAAGTAAAACATTTGTCTGAATTTGTTTGATGAGCATCTGGTCTGTGAAAAACTGTTACACCACAGCTGCTGGTCTTATTAAAATAAAATCTAGATTGATATTTAATAACTTGTTTGCTTCTTTTTCAGCACAAATAGAAGTGATTCCTTGTAAAATCTGTGGTGACAAATCATCAGGCATTCATTATGGTGTCATCACCTGCGAAGGCTGCAAGGTAAAAGAAATTGACACAAGGTTTAACCAGCCACCCTCGACACTCGGTGGGTATTTAAATTCCCTGTCTTTGTTTCTTTAGGGTTTCTTTCGGCGTAGCCAGCAGAACAATGCCATGTACTCCTGCTCACGGCAAAGAAACTGCCTAATTGATAGGACCAACCGCAATCGTTGTCAGCACTGCCGGCTGCAGAAGTGTCTCGCTCTGGGTATGAGCCGTGATGGTGAGTTCAGTCGCTCCGTTCCTTTTAACCACCTCAGGGTGACTTCTGCTTCCTCGACATTTTCTACTTTTAATCTCACTTGTTGAGACACGTAGTTCTTCTTTGCACATCATGTTAAAGTTGAGTTATTTTACCCCTCCGCTCACCTGTCGTAGCTGTGAAATTTGGTCGCATGTCCAAGAAGCAGCGAGACAGTCTGTATGCAGAGGTCCAGAAACACCAGCAGTCCCAGGAGTGCGGCGGAGTCGGCGTCTGCGAGGAGAACGGTGACATGGCTGACCACAATCGCACCTACAGAAGAGGCTCCAGCGCTGCTCTCAGCGACCTGGACGACATCTCTACCCTGCCAGAGGGCCTGCTTTTTGACCTGCAGCTGACTCCAGAGGATGGTGGTGGGGAGTACTGTAACCTGGACATGCTGGGAGGAAGTGCAGGCAGCAGTTCCTCCTCTCAGAGCTCACCAGATCAATCCAGCTTGGACTTTGTAGATGGAAACCATGGCATCAAACATGAATACCAGCTGTTGCATGAGTCTGGACTCTTCTCACATGCTATTCTCAACCCACTTCCAGAGGGCTGCTCCCTGCTGGAGATAGGTCAGTAGGAAGTAGGAACCCTGTATTACTCCTTAAACTAAAATTCTTGATCTTGTAGCAAGTTAAACATGAATAAAGTAAGATTTTCCTCCATCCAGAGCGTATAACCCAGAGTGTGGTTAAGTCCCATATTGAGACAAGTCAGTACGGAACAGAGGAGCTGAAGAGAATGGCGTGGAACCTGTACAGCCCAGAAGAGACGCGCTCATACCAGACCAAGGTAACAGAGAAACACCCTCTCTTCTGCGTGTATTATTAGAGCGGCCTTTGGAAGAAAACCTTTAAAAATTTGTATTTATCCTCCTGGACATATGTTTCAGGTAAACTGTGATTTTATCTCTTGGGTTCCTTCGCCTCATTCTGTGCTGGGCTCTTTTTTACTTAAGTGAATTAATGGTTTTACTTCGCACATAAATCGAACAATCCAAAGACTTTTAAATGAGATATAACGCAAAAATTACAAAGTAAAAAAGGCAACCATCAAACAAAACTGATGTCAGCTGCAGTCCTCTAAAACATTGCATTATGGTTCTTTCTCTTTCAGTCAGCTGAGGTGATGTGGCAACAATGTGCTTTTCACATCACCAATGCCATTCAGTACGTGGTAGAGTTTGCTAAGCGCATCTCTGGCTTCATGGACCTCTGTCAGAATGATCAGATCATCCTCCTCAAAGCAGGTCAGTGCATGACACCATTTCACACACCCTGCAGCCTTTAATCAGTTCTACACACAGCCAATCAAGGGCGTCAGTTTGTTTTCAGAATTGCTGGGGACAATAACCATACACTTGAGTGGGGTTTAAAAATTGCTGGGGACAATAAAGGCAGGCTTTTTTTAAAGTGGGGGGGACACAGCTGCCAATCACAAATTTTGCCGGGGACATGTCCCCGGCGTCCCCGGTTAAAATGACGCCTATGCAGCCAATTTTGTGTGTATGTTAATTTGCGTTAGTCTGAAGTGGTGGGGGAGTTCCAGACTCCCAGCGTCACATGCTTGCAGAGTGACTTCCAGTTGGTTGTTCTTCGTCTAAATAATGGCTGGCTTTGTTTTAATTCACACAGCTTCTTCAATTCATCTCTTTTATAATCATATAATGAATAACTTCTGCTCATAAATTACAAAGATAAACTTGTGCTTGTTTTCACGTTAACATTCCCAAAACAACAAATCAGCCCTCATCTAATGCAGCATGTTTAGCAGCAAATGTTTTTTAAAATTTTTTATTTAAGATATCATATCATATCATGGAAAATCCACTTTTTGGAGCTTTTTACCGTGTGATATTATTCCCTCACGAGAAAAAAGAAAACCCATTTTTGGCTATATTCATGCAGTTTCCTGTTTCAGCTGCAAGTTAAAAGTTTTACTTGCTTTATCTTGTAAAGCATCAGTGGAAACTAGTCTCGTCATCAGGCCCTGCTGCTCTTCCAGAAGTAGTCTCTGGTCTGAAACCTGTCTCTCCTGGCAAGCACAGGATATGTGACTCAGGCGAGTGATGCGATGCGATGCAGCAGACTTGGTAGTCCAGTGGTTGGAGTGCTGTGCTGACATGCAGTTCTGTGCAGGTTCCCATCCCAGTCTCAGCGGTAGCTATTGCCAGTATTAGGTTTTCAACCCTTTATTGTTAAACTGTTTAAAATATAAGGACTCATCTTTTATTTAGCCAGTGTGAGTCCATGTGAGGTGAGCTGAGTAAATCAACTAAAATGCTACTTGGAAACGACCAAATTCAAAGCCGTTTAGAGACACAAAATATTCTGTAGAAAATTATTAATAAAACAAAAATATAAAAATGTGAATTCTGCTTCAGCTGGCTAAATTAATCACTGCCGACACGACCGTGTTTCGAGTCCATGCCAGCACATGTCAACACTGAGATGGCAGGAAGACAACTTGACCACTGGACTACTATAGCCAAGACCCCAACAGACTCGCCGAAGACGCTGTTGTAGGCACGTTTTGTCAGAGTGGGCATCAGCGGAGTTTCACTGAAATGAAGCGTTTTATTTTTGGATATAAATTCAGGCTGACAAAAATAACTAGTATTTAGGATAAATAGCATCTTAATAGTGCCAGCGGTAATATTTTAGCATATACTGTGCCTACCTTTGCTCTCAAAGCTTTAAAATTACATGATATGGCATTTTTAACATAAATAACAGGGATGCACCAATACCACATTTCCCAAAACAAGAAATAGTACCTGCAGTTGAGTACCTGCCGGCTCTGTGTGGCAATACCAAGTACTCATAAAGACCATTTACCTAATTCATGGCTTGGTACAGGTCAAGAATGGTCAGTAAAGTAGCAGGTCGCTCATAAACTAAACAGGATCAGTCAACTGGGCTCTTTTATTGTGTCATAAGCAGTTCCTGTCTTTTTTTTAGGTTTGAAAATATCACATAAAAAATGTCTTTAATTTAATCCGATCTGGACTTTATGTAAATTTTAAGTAAATTTGAACAGAGTAACATCTCCTTATGTGAAAATACTAAATAAATAAATTGTGAAACATTCATACCAAACTTTTCAGCTGTGTAAGTCCTGGTGTGGGAAAATGACTCCTTTTATGCCTGCAGCTGTTGCTCAAGGCTTCCACAAATCAAACTTTTCCTCGCCTGATTAGAACCAAACTGTTGGATCATGAAGTTTCTGTGCGTAGAGTAGTAGTTTCATTAGACCTACTTCTTTTCTGTCATAGATGTTAGCAAAATGTGTCAAATTAAAGCGTGCTGCTGCTTTATTAGTGTCGATCAGCTGTGACTGACAGCTTTACCTGAACCAAACTGTGGTACCATGAGGATTTCACCGACGCTTAAGCCACATGTTACAGTAAATGGGTGTGTTTCCGTTGTGGACCAGAGCGTTTTGACTCATCCCTAAAGCGTAGTGACGCATGAATTTATGCTTAGTCTATTTTTTATGTGCTACGCTTCGAGAATGCGTCAAGCTCAGCAGTTCAGATCGGAACAGGCAGGAAGTCCTACACTGGAGCGGTGGAAAACATCTGGCAACTTTCAAACTAAAAGTCACATGCTTATTTCCAGTAGCTGAATTAGTGAAACAAAATACGATTACCTGTGACGCCTGCATAAAGCACAGACCCTTTGGATACATGCTGCCGTCTTTCGCCTTGCTAGTTATCTTGTGAACTGCCAAAATTAAAAGTGGTAATACAAGTGGCCGATTTGCATCTGAAACGGCACCAGAGGGCAGCGAGATGCTGCTGAACTCGCTGGGAAAAAGTGTCTGTTACATGTCGCTTGTGCATCTGGGGGAAAGCCAAGGTTGGCTGCTGTTGTCCCCTGCTACAACTCATCTGAGAGATGAGTTTTATGATGCATGATGTGGTTTATGCGTGGTATCAGCATAGTTTTATGAGAACAGGTACATGACTATAGTATCAGACTGATACCTGATGCTGGTATTGGTACAGGGGCATCCCTAATAAATAAAGTTATTCAAAAAGCATTTTAGTCCAATCGGCACAAAAAATGTTACCAGGCAGACTTATGAGATGCTTTCTCACCAGTCACACCTATTCTAGTATGTATTAATACAGAATGTAACACAAAGTTATGTGATTTAGCACCAAACATTTATAGGGTCTGATGCTTTGAGAGCAGTAGTCTTCTCTATCAGAGCAGTGAGCTGGTTTGAGCCAGAACCTGCTTACAGTTCAAGTACAGAACCATTTAGCATTCTCATTTTGTCAGCCTTGGCTTTGAAGTATTGTCTGAAAACACACCCACAACACACACACACACACACACACACACACACACACACACACACACACACACACACACACACACACACACACACAATACTCCCAACCCAATTACTGCCCTGTCACAGATGTAAATCTTTTCAATCATAAAGTGTGTGTGAACCTACAAATTAGAGAAGCATATACGGCATGCCATTCAATTAACCGTGTACATGTAAGAGCCTGTTGCAGTTAGCATGTTTGCACCAACTCACTCTGCCAAAAATAGACATGAAATAGTATTCAAAAGGCACACGCTGGTTCAGTCAGTTTCTAAGTGGCAGCCATGACAAAGCCTGTGGATCTTTTCATGGAGATAAAAGAAAACAGGAGCTGCAGTGGGTTAATCACATAACCCAAAGGTAAAAGCATCTCAGAATAAAGCAGATGTCATAACAGACATGTGATGCAACAAAAATCGTGTAACTGAGCTATGACATAAACAAGGTAAATCCTTCTACAACATGGAGTTTGTTTGGTTCGTAAACACCAGTCACTGCAGTGAGACTTTTAGTCACGGATCATAATGTTCAGAAAAATTACAAAAAGAAGTCTTTTAACAACTTCTGCCCAGAACTAAGTAGAGCTCAACTGTCCTCGGATGTGCGGTGACTCCTGAATACTGTAGAGTTTCAACTTGTTACCAACAAAACTGGTGAGCTTCCCCGGGCAGGCACGGCCCAAAGCCACAGAAGTCACATCTTAAATGCCTTTGTTTGTCTCATCCTTTTGATTAGCCGGTTTTGTCTGGATGCTGTACCAGCAGAGGGTCCTCGCCACACTCATTAACGTGAATGTTGTAATAGAACAGGTCCTCTGATTGCACATGTAACACATTCAACTGACATTTGTGCAAAAACATGTACTGTCCAAGTCTTGTGTCATTTTATCAGCTCCTCTGACTAAACTCTGTAGATGTTCCTGCATTTTTCATGGGTGTATCTGTGTCTCAACAGGCTGCATGGATGTTCTTCTGATCCGTATGTGCCGGGCCTACAACCCCATCAATAATACATTGCTCTTTGATGGAAAGTTTGCCACTCCTCAGCTTTTTAAAGCTCTTGGTGAGTCAGCAACTTTCAGTGTTTTTCTCGTTCTCTTCTATGAGCATCATGAAAAGTTGGGTAGGGTATTTTTGGGTCACCTTTTCATCTGTCACAATAATTACTGTCAGCACTTCCTGTTTTGATTTTTGTTTTAATTGTCATTTCGCTTAAGGCTGTGATGACCTCGTGAGTGCGGTGTTTGACTTGGCAAAAAGCCTGAGTCGTGTATCGATGTCTGAGGAGGAAATGGCGCTCTTCAGTGCTACTGTGTTGCTCTCACCAGGTGAGAAAATGTTCCCAACATGATAAATCTGTTAAACAGGTATCTGTCACCTATGTTGTTGTTGTATGAGTTTGAATATTAGGATGGTTCCAGTTGGCACTGGTCGCCTCGTCTTAATTTTTCACTGCAGAATGGATCCTTTGGTCAAATCAGAATTGGCCAAAAAATGCTGATGTGTGTTTAAATGACATGAAACAAAATGTATCTAATTGTGCGTGTGTGTGGTATGTATATTTAGTACGTTTTACTGACTTTACAAACATTTTTTAAACAAGTAAGACAAAAAGTGGGTATAATAACTTAAACATGTCCTGGAAAAATCATTTATAACAATTTGACTCACAGAATAAAAAAAGTTTCTATATGTAAATGAAACCAATTAAAATTGGCTTGATTTGCAGCATTTGGTTGCAGATTACGTTTGTTAGTGTTTGGCAGAACTCCTTGGCAAATTTAACACTACATTTATATATTTATATAATAATTATTATGATACAACGTTACAATAAAAAATACAGCTTTGTTACGTAATCATTTAGGAGATGCCAAGCCCTTTAATGAGCCGTCTCGCAAAGTTCCTCCTAATTAAACCTCATTATTCATGTCTGTGTGGGAACATCTCGATATTGTTCACTACTTCCCAGTACAAACCCGGAATGGTAACAATCTCACTTGGCAGGTTTTTGGCAAGTTTGAACCATGATGAACACTGAATGATGCCAAGATGAGGCAGTAAAATATCCTAGAAAGATGGAAAAACAATGAAAGATTTTTCTCTGCAGATCTGTCTAGCCACGCTCCATTGTAGCCTCAGCTGGTCTACCATTGGCCTGAACTACTTTAGGTCAGGCCAATCACAGTGCTCTATGTGTTTAAGAAGACCTTCAGCGGGCTTTCCACCATAGCTGCAGCAGAGAAAAACTACAAAAATGGCATCTGTTCAGAAATGGCATTCATTTGAAACGGCTTTGTCATCAAAATTGGATGATTTTAACTTGACCCTTTCTTTGAGACATGAGCAGATAGAGATGCTTAAGTCATTTAGTTCAAAAAAGGTTGTGTTTGCTTCTTTTTACTTTTCTTCGATGGTGCATGGCAGACTGCCCCATTGACTGATTTCCGTACTGATGAATAGGTCACATTGTTAGTCTGATTGGTCCTAGCACTGTCCAGTTGCATGTGGACACAGTTTGAAAGACAACTGTCGATTCCACCCCATGACTCATCTCTTTCTATGGACCATGGCCAGACTATATAAATAAAACTATAGGATGGCTAGCAGGCTGACAGTATAATATATTACAGTGTGAATGTGTATGTGCGTGGGTGAATGACTTGTTATAAAATGTGCAGGCGGCAGTGTCTAGGCCTCCATAAGAACTTATATAGACACAGACTACTTATGACTCCTGAGGAAGTTGGCAAGTTTTTTATTGCTGAACTAGCCACATCTCATTCAACACGTCAGTGGTGATTTAAGTTATTAACACAAATTCAGCTACAATCATGTGAACCTTTAGTAGGTTTTTGCAAATTAACAGTCATGTTTATGTAGCTACATTGAAAGTAGAGTTTCTGCTTTAAGAATATATAGATTTTTATATAAATAATTATACATATGAACTAAATAATAAAAAGAACACTAGAGAAATTAAAAAACACAGGAGAGTGTTTTTACATCTGAATATTGAGTTAAATTAACTTTAAAGGTTGAATATGGAACAATTTAATAAGCTATATTTTTTAAATGATACCTCCACGAGGCGTTTAGAGGTGTGCAGAATGGAAAATACAGTGCATCCTTTAAAAGTCATATTTTAATTTTAAAAAATTATCAAATTTCTTTTGACGGGTACGATATTGTTTATGTTTACATCTACCAGCCAATAGAGGGCACCATTATGTTACAATTCTGCTCGGCACAGCGAGGCTAAATGGTGGCCTCGGCAAGTCAAGCAGCTACTTCTGAGCCCAGAAGATGATCTAACGTTAAATACTGTTGTAAAATAAAATTATAAGTAGAAATTGGTCCTTACCCTGTACGGTTCGCCACTGGACATGGTGCTGGCTGGTCATTTCACGTATCGGCAGTGACGTCCCACAGCTGGAAACCTTGCTCTATTGCTGCAACTACACCCTCTACACACTAGATGTCGCTATGGTGTTCATGTTCCATATTCAACTTTTAAAGGGGAATATTTGAACTCTGTAAATGTGTTAATTCTGACACTAATTTGAGTAAAATTAACTCTGAACATTTAACACAGGCTAAAGAGTAAATTTTATTCTATTTTGTGAGGAACCAAATGTTATCTGAAACTGTTAAATTCTACTTTCCCAGAGTTGCAGTGACACAGGATTTGATTGTTTTTTACTGTGTAATAATTACTCAAACGTTTCCTCTACCTTATCAGACCGACCGTGGCTAACGGATGTCCAGAAGATCCAGAAGTTGCAAGAAAAGGTTTATGTGAGTCTGCAACGCTGTCTGCAAAAAGAAGGTGCATCAGAGGAGAAGCTAGCCAAGGTACAGATTGGTGTTCTGTCAAAATATGCACTTGACTATGGGGTGCCGATTGTAAAATTATACATAAATGATTTAAAATTTAAATACATAAAATACATCTATATTTTTAAAATGAAATCAAAAATATTCTAGAGAACAAAGACAGGTACACAGGCTATTGACCATGGTTGCATGGACTCTTGGTCTCACCACCAGAGGGACTCTGAGGTGTTAGTTATGCTTTTATTTTGGTAAGGGCAACTTCTATTTTACAGTCTGGATTTGCACATTTTCTGAGTTTTTAGATTAAAACTGCAAGATTCAAATTTAAATTGTAGTTATCTTAAGTGATCTGATTTCAAAGCCTTAGGTTTTGCTGTATATATTTATATTCAATAGTAAATATTTCATTTTTGTATTTATGTTCAAACCTTGAGACATAATATTGTAATTTACTAAATAAATTGGCAAAACAGTGACTTAAAAATGTCATACTTCATTTTTATTGATATGAGGAGTTCCTTAAAGTTTCCTAATATATTTTTTAATCAGTGCCCCATACCTGGTAATGATGTTAAAATGTAAATGTAACCACTGTAAAAACATTTTGTTTACCTGATGTTTTGTTTTTTGTTGTTCTTTTCTAGATGGTTTCTAAGCTTCCTGTAATGCGGTCGATCTGCAACCTACACATTGATAAACTGGAGTTTTTCCGTCTGGTCCACCCTGAGACCGCCTATACTTTTCCACCTTTGTATAGGGAAGTTTTTGGCAGTGAAATCACCTTTCCAGACTCTACGGAGGGCTAGTTTATCCATTTAGTTTGAATGTTATGTTTAACATAGCGACACTGAGGTTCATATAGAGGAGGATTAAAAAATGTGGCGGACATCAGAGGCAAAACCAACTAGTAGCCCAATGACAATCCTGCACGTTACACTTTAGCACACAATCCTCTCACCTCTGAAGTCCAAACCCTGTGGAGTAGCTTCCACTGCCCTGCAGGCCAACCCTCTCAGCTTAACTCAGTGGGGGCTGCTTCTGGCTCATCAGTGTCTCCTTTTGGTTTTCTTTTTAAAGAATGAAGAAATAGTCAACAGCATTTGAGTTTGCAGAAATATTTTTCTATAAGACTCATCAAATCTAAACAGTTTCTGGTGTATATTTTGATGTATTCATTCTCATGGCTTCTGTATAAGATTGTTGAATGTACCTCCCTCTTCCTGTAACCATCCAGCACAGCCCTGGGCTTCAAATAGAATGTAGTAAACTCCTCACCCACTTTGGGAGATTTACAGTGAAGATGCCTGTTTTTGTTGCAAAGTCTAGAAACGGTTTTTGTTTCATTCTGAAGATTGCAGTTTTGTGACATGATCAAACTGTGTAAAGGGACCATGATCAAAGTTAAAAGCAGAAAAGTCATTTTCTTTTCTAACTGTAAATCACATTCAGATACTGAGCTCGGCTACTGCCGTGCACCAACAAACACTTTCACAAAGAGCACAAGACACAGCACTTGAGCTAAATGATGTTAGCCGTTGCTACTAGCACACCTTAGACACCGTTGTCAGTAAATGGTGACTTTTATCTTTTACTTTTATGCAATCAGTGACCTCAACCCAAATACCTTTTCCCTTTGCAAATGCCACTTAGAAAGTGAGACGATTACAAAGGTATTTGTGGACATATTTTCAGATGTACTTTTTTATATATAAATATATTTATATATAAAAGCATCTATAAAAATGTGTAAAAAAAAAATAAAAATAAAAGAACATATGAGGAGAGCAGGTCTTGGGCTCAGGCTATAATGTCCACATTTTATGGTTCTGGGATTAAACAGGAGAGACATTGTAGCAGAAATGAAAAAGAAAGTGTTTCATCAGCACTTACACCTCCTTGTTGGGACCCAAAACATCTCTTAGAAACAGGGTTTTATAGGTTTGCAGTCAAACTGCCAGCTGGGATGCTTGTATTTAAACCAGATAGAAAAGCTAGATGAACCCGCTACCTGTGAGCATGATGCTGAGAGGGAAGAGTTATCTGCACAAATGTCTCATCGGCCTGAGACTTGATATTGAAGTCGAGCTTACAATGAAGGGACAACAAAGCATGGGTGATGGTGTTATTCAAGCTTCCCATGCGTCACGAGATGTTATCGCTCCTCTTGGGTTGGGTTGATTATGTGGTCTGATCAGAGAATGATAACCTCTATTCTTTAACTCCCCACCGCCTAACTACCTCACCTTCTCCAAAACACTAGAGGGCAAAGCACAGGGTTCATAACTCAGTGTTGCACACTAGAGAGCCTCTTCAGAAAATCCTAACTCCTAGTGGCAACACTGAGAGGTGGAGTAGCAACTAGGCAATAATTCAAAATGATACCATTGTTATTGAAACTGGAGAAGAAAACAAATGAATGGAACACTGGATCTTCATGTGCTAAAGACACATTCTGGTTTTTCATAGCACTTTTTGCCTTTTGGGTCCAGGAAGTTCTGGATGTGTACAGATGTATCTCAAGTTACATCTCCGGGGATACCAATGGGTGTGTCCAGATGAGAAGTCTTTATTTGAGGAAGGATGTATTGGATTTCTGTCAAACAATAAGTTTCAACCAACAAACATAAAGAGGACATGAGAAAGCAACGGCTATCCTTGGAGTAAACATGTTTATATACATACATATGTAAATAAGTTTAATGACAATCACACGACAGGTGTTGATGTCTCGGTAACATTTATTAAGCTTTGCGCTGCTGGGACAGTGCTGTTCACCATTAACTTCACCCAGTATGAAGGGAGCATGACCCTCGTCTTGGTACTTTAAAAAAGTGGCATTGTGGGATCGTGCAATAATGTCTTTCCCATTGTTTTCAGTATGTTGGGCCCTAGTTTAAATGTATTACAATCACTGTTTTCACAAACACTCCAGCTTTATAACCTCACAGCACAACACATTAGTATTCACAGCATAATATACCAAAAACTTCACTAACATCTTTACAGATCAGATTAATCAGCCAGGTGGCACCCACAGATTGTAGCAAAGTGCAATGCTTTGTGTTTGGAGCCTAGTCTCTAAAGACCTGTGTAGTCTGAAATATCAGACTTCTGATCTGTTTTGTCCGTTCCCTTTAGAGTCACTCAGGGAGATGGCTGGGCTCTCTATCCTACAGCAACTGCAGTTAGTCGAGCTAGCAAGGCACCTTGCACCTACCTAAAAGACCTTTAAACCTTGATCACTGTGTACAGTACATGTCCTTGTGAATGTTTGATTACATAAGTATCAAAGATTTTACCCTGTCTCGTTATTATATCAAGACTTTTCTAGTTTAAGTCATAGATTTAATAGGATTTTTTAAGTAAACATAAAAGATCAGTTCTAATCTCTGAATTTTATTCTGTTGTGATCTTTTTCCTTTTCTGTTGTACTGTTTGTTTTATTTCCTCGTCAGGTTAGTGTCCTTTTTGTCTCAAAGAGATGTAATTTTATTTTTTCTAAAGAGCGTTTTTAAAAATAAAATGTCCCCCAGAAGGTTTTACTTTTGTCATGATCCTTCTGTTTATGATCTTTTCACTTTATTTTAAGATGATTTAATCCAGCCAGATTATTATGGAGTAATTTAAGTCATTGTTTGTGAAGCCCTAGAGGTTTTAACACAGTGAAGTGTTATTGCACAACGGTGATACTGTATGTGGATTCAAGAATGTAATAAAGACTTTTTACAAGTAAAACTAAACGTTGTTGCACTCTTGTTCTTTATATTTAACCTTTTACAGTCAGTTGATTCTTCTATTGCTCTGAGCAATGCAGCTGTTCTCCTGTACTTATTCAACTCAGATTGAGTTTTAGACAATTTTATTAGAAAAGTTAATTCTGCTGTGAGCATTTCAGAATATTTAAGTTATATCGTTAGATGGTTTATGAGAATCTTAACACATTTTTCGACAAACAAAAACGATTGAGTAATGTGCATGTCCTTTCTCCCGCCTTTACGTGTGCAGAATTGGAACTGTAAAATTATGCTTTGGGCAACACATGCACACACACACAATCCTTGTGTATTCCCTTTGACCCTACTTCATGGCTGGTTAACACAATTAGTCTCTGGCGACATCTAGTGGGCAAGTTGGGAAGAATAATAGCTAGGTCATGAGTGAATATTAAAATATGCGCAGTGATGCTCTTCAGAATATACTTCAAATTATGCAATGACAGAGATTTAGAGGACCAATATTACAAATCAGATGGAACAGTGCTCCAGGCTCCAGTCTGTGAGCCTCAGCTGCTGAGGGTTTTAACACCAGGAGGAATTTAGTGGGAGCTGGTAAACCTAATGGCAAATGGCAAATGGCCTGTATGTGTATAGCGCCTTCTTAGGGTTTTACAACCCCCCAAGGTGCTTCACAAGCCACAGCTACATCTAATTACAGTTTTTCTCAAATGCTAAAACACATTTCACAAACGTTTCCTCCATGTTCCCCAATGTCTAAACACAACACCCTTTTCTAAAACTACATAAACACAACCACACCTTCTCACTTCAAAACTCAAATTTTCACACCAAAAGAGCAGCTCGAACCTTCAAAAATGTAAACACTATGCACATCATTACACACTACAGCAAATCAATTGAAAACACAATGCTCAATTTGTGAGAAGGTTCTTTGTTTCATAACTGCCAATTTGCCCATTTTTAGAAACTTAACAGTTACGGATCTTCTTAGATCTCTGCAGAGGATCAGGCATTTAGATTTGTGAGTTTCATATGAAGGGTATAAATCTATAGAAAATTCTGCATGTACACTACTGTAACACAACTCATGCAAAAACAGAATCTATTTCACACAACAGTACTCTTGAAAACATGAGCAGGGTGTGAAATGTTTTTATTTACTTTATTCACAACACACACACACACACCACAATCACTGTGCGGCATCATGTCGCTGAGCTGCATCGGGCCACATCACCTCATCCACATCGCAGGCTGTATTGTCTCTTGCTAGGCACCGCGGGAAAAACACCCTGGAATGGCGAATCCATCCTTGTAAGGCCTCCGCTGGGATATCACCACAGGCCACCTCCACTGCCCGAGGTTCTCTCTAGTGTATGGTTGTCTGTCATACACCTTCCGTCTCCACGATAAGAACTCTACAGGGTTCAGGAAAGGGGAGTAGAGTGGCAGACAGACGTTTAAAAAGTGGTTACTGTTGGTGGTGAACCACTCTGATTTGGTTTGTTCCGTGGAAGCGGAAATTGTCCCAAATTATCACATAAATGTGATGTGCGGGCCCAGGATGGTGTTGTTGGCGGTCCAGGAGGATGTCTTTTAGCTCCTCTAGGAAGGTGAGGAGATGTTGGGTGTTGTAAGACCCAAGGACAGCATGCCGATGGACAAGCCCCTCCGAACCCATGGCCGCACAAAGAGTATTACCCCCCCCCCCATTGGCCAGGAACCTCAGTGATGGCTTTTTGGCCAATGTTACGGCCTCTTTGCCTTAGTTTCTGCAGGTTGAAGCCAGCCTCATCCAGGAAGAGGTACTCATGAGGTCTGGCCATCGCGTCCAACTGTAATATCCTCTGTGAAAGTGTGAAAGTGCACAGGTGTTCAGAACAACAGTCAATCAGGTAGCACAGTATTGTCCAAAACTAATGTAGACCACTGAGCAACACAGTTTATCCACTAACTGTACATTGCAGAATGAAGGGGGCTTGGTTTTTGATGCAAATACATTTTCTCTTGCGAATGAATGTTGTTTTGTAAATGCTATTGTTTAGTGTTTCTGATGTTATTAATGGTATTTTGTTCTGTTTCGTATTTCATTAAATGATAAAACATCATCTAAATAAACCAAGACAAGCATAAATGAATTCACTAGAAAACCTGGAAAATACCTGCTACATCCAGCAGGGAGCAGTAGCTGGCCATCTACTTTTGCTACCTTCATGTAAACTGCGGAAAATTAAGCTTCCAGCTGGTTGTTGATTTAAAATAACGATTCGTAATGTTTTTATTGTTCATATTGTTTTCTTGACATTTAGATTTCCCTAAATCGTTTTTGCACCATAATTCGAAATAGGAGTCACTCCTAGCGTGGACGTGTTCAGTTGGCGTGTCCCGACTCGGAGTGACGGCTGGGCAGACCTATTATTTCTCCGAAGTGTTTTTTTGCACCGGCCCATTTTTTGACACAGTCTATCGTTAATTTTTGGATTATCGCGCCCTGTTTTACACCGTAGTTGGAAGCAGAGAAAAGCCCCGGGGTTCAAAATGTCTGTAGCGGGGTTGAAGAAGCAATTCTATAAAGCCAGCCAGGTTTGCAAACTTTTCTCCGATACCGTTAGCTGCTAGCTTATTTTAGCATGGAGAGCTAACCAGCTTCATGTTTAGCTGCTGTTGACAGCTTGAGTCATTTTGTGAAAATTTGACTTTAATTTTGCTCTAAACATTTTTCAATAGTACATTTAAATGTTTATTACCATGTCGTGTGTTTACAATTAATAAATTAGCGTTAGTGTGTATATAAACATTTCTTTTTAGAGGTTGTTGTTTTTAATGCTTCATACAGATGCACAGAATCTGATTTTGTGAGTACACATCTTGGGATTAACGTTAACGTTGTCTGCCCAAGGATGAGTAGGAATTATTCCAGTGTGAAAAAGAAAACACCGTTCGGAGCAATTGGCTGCAGCACTACAGTCAGGACTGAAACGGAAAAGTCCTTTGTGTTTTTATAGCAGTAAAACACAGTTTGGTGTTCAGTCTGAAAGGATATTAAGCCAACTTTTCTTCTCTGAAGTTTAAAAACACTTCAGAAATGTTTAAACGCTATGGAACTAAACATGTATCGTTAGGTGTCGTAATCTTAGTGTGAATGCTTTTAATCAGATCCATCTGACTGAAGGGAGGAGAAAAAAAACATTTTTTTTATCTAGTCTTTTTCCTTTACCCCTGCTGAGCTAAGCAGGAAAGACATTTGGTTTCTACCTCTTCCTGTTAGAGACAAATCTCTGCTGGCCTTTCGTGATGTGAAGAAAATCACATTTAGAAGTTGTTTGGGTTTAACTGTGTTGAAAATTATTAACAGAGGAGAGTTGAAGTAGATTAGCGCTTGATACAGGAAAGACACCGTGAATGGTGTAATCACTGTGCTTTACTTTTATTTGACTGCATTGCAGCTGTTTTTCCTGCCAAAACTCCACCAGAGTCAATAACAGGCCACATAGCTCACATTTTACTCAGAGTGAAGAGGAAGCATGCAGGGAGGTGGATGTGGCAATGAGATCTGGGCTCTATCCCACTCCTTGTTTTTCTATTTTGCTGTTTCCCCTGTGTTTTGTTCCAGTGGATCACTGTAAAAACTAATCACAGCCCTCAAATGTTAATATTGGTGGAAAACAAGTACTTAGAAAGGCGGTCTGTCACATGAGTGTAACAGATGGTAAATGTAGAACAAGTTTGTACAACGTAAACAGTCGACATTAGGGATGTTCGATCATAACTGTGGTTATTTTTGCTAAATTTGTAAATCAGGATTTCTCATTCAGTTGGGAAACACTTCATTTATTTCTCCCCTTCAGGTGAAAACATTGCTGTGGTGCTGCACTTCAAAATTGGAGTGCATGATTCAACTGTTTCTTATGACCTGAGTTTAATTTACTAAAGCTTTACATCCTCACAGGATTTATACATAATTGTATATTTTGAATGAATATTGCATTATTTTAAGAATAGATGTTATGTAAAGCCTCATAAAATCAGACTTCACATTTATATGTGATTGTAGCGAACAGAACTGAATGTCAGAGTTAAAACTTTGATCATTACTTTTGTCGTAGTGTACCAAGTCAAATGATTGTTTTATTAATGTTCAGACATAATTTTAAAACAGAAATGGTTAATCAAATCAATTATATATATATATATATATATATATATATATATATATATATATAGTCTAGCTGATTATTAGTCACCTAAAGAAAAAATGGCTGCCACTGCAAGCGTTTGGATGTCTAAATAGAGATTTGGCATCAGTGCTCATGAAAACGCTTTTTTGTGCGGTTGTGTGTTCTTGTTTTCAATAATCTTGACACTTGGAAATTGAAACATATGCAGTACTATTTAATAATTAACAGTGTTTTTAGTGTTGATGTCAATGTCTAATACTTGGAAAGTATTTAAATTCTGCAGTTATACATTACAAGGTCACAACCTCTAATACTATACTATACCAAGTGTAATTGTAAAGCACATTTAAAAATAGCATGACAGCTGACTATGTGCTGTACAGATAAAAATTAAAACATGATATAAAATATTTTGTTGGGTCGCCCTTAGCTTTGATTATATCACACATTTGCTGTGGCGTTATTTCAATACGCTTCTACAAGATTTATTTCCATCCAGCGTTGCATTAATGTTTCACCAAGATCTGCATTGATGATGGTAGAGTCTGACCGCTGCACAAAGCCTTCTCCAGCACATCCCAAAGATTCTCAATAGGGTTAAGGTCTGGACTCTGTGGTGGCCAATCCATGTGTGAAAATGATGTTTCATGCTCCCTGAACCACTCTTTTACTATCTGAGCCCGATGGATCCTGTCATTGTCATCTTGGAATATGCCCGTGACATCAGGGAAGATGGAATAACCTGGTCATTCAGTATATTCAGGTAGTCGGCTGACCTCATTCTTGGAGCACATCCTGTTGCTGAACCTAGACCTGACCAACTGCAGCAACCCCAGATCATAACACTGCCCCCACAGGCTTGTACAGTAGGCACTAGGCATGCCTCTCTTCTTACCCTGATGCACCATCACTCTGGAACAGGGTCCATCTGGATGCATCAGACCAGTTTTTAATAATGTGTTGGACAGTTCTTAAACCAGTTTTAGTCGTTTCTAAAATCTCCTTAGATGTTTTCTCTGCTTGATGCATACCAATGATCTGACCCTTCCCTAACAAACTTTACATCTTCTCCACGACCATCAGATGTGTCTTTCCACACGGTTGTGTAAGTAACGAGAAGCAACTCATTGCACCAGTTGGGGTTAAATAACTTGTTGCCAGCTGAAAGATAATTGCTCATGCAGTAATTATCCAACAGGAGGCTCCTACCTGGTATCTTAGTTAAATCCAGGTGGAGACTTTTTGGGGGCTTGGCAGTGTATATTCCAGTTATCTGCAGGCAGTTACTACCAGCCAAGCTAGATCATTGATCTTATGGTGTAAATTGTCATTTAGTATGTCTCAAATTTAAAGGGTGGAAGAAAACACAGAGCATAAGTTAAATTTGTTAAAAGATATTAATTGATTTAGCCTTTGTTTTCATTCTACTGAACAAAATGATGGGATTAACAGCAGCCAGGGTACGCTGTTCCAACATGCACACATTTCACATGCTTCGTTGAAGCACGTAGATCATATCAGGAGTTAAAGTACAGCTTAATCTGGAAGGATTAGTCTGAATTACAGTTTAGTGCCAAGTTGATTTGGGCTAAAACCGATTCACAAGGAATGATATGTGCAATGGATTCCTGAGATTGTTTTTGTTTATTCAGGTGCAGGTTGATGACATGCGGCTGAAAACTGATGTTGATGTTCAGTAAAAATGGTTTTGTTAAAGGTCTAAAGTGACTGATCAGGTCAAAAGTAAATTTTTATTACAAATGTAGTGTTTTGAAATAATTAAAAACTAGAAAGCTACAGTTTTAACTGATGTCCAGTAAAATATAGATACACCAAAAATCTGGCTGGTGATTGGAATTGGCCAACATGATCAGGATAATCTGTGATTGGTCATTCTGAAAATCCAGATTTTTAATTATTGATGGCATCACCCAGATCAGCCATGTGGAAGATTTTACTTTCAAAATCATGATTTTGAGACTACCCAGAAATATTAAAAACATATAATAAAAGCTGTAAAAGAATCAGAAATCAACATATCGGCAATCTAAACCTGAGACTACTTGACTTCAGCCATGATGACAGAGGCAGCACTCACTCTTTGTTTCCTTGTTTGATAAATATTTAACTTTGCTCTCTGTTTCTTGGCGTTTCTAGCATTGGTGCCAGTGTGGAATTTATTAGGACATGATAACTAGTTTTCCTGTTGTGGCTTTATTCCTGTGCTTCAGACTCCTTGCATATGGCATAATGCATCCTGATAGCTTGGATGTGAGTTGGAGCTCCAGCCCATTTGAGTGTGTGGGAGTAAATATGACCCACTGAAAATGTTGTTTTCCCTGCTGTCTTTTTATAAATCCACTGTAGTGTTTATCTTGAGCTTAGATTTGGCTTTGAGATGATGTACTGGTATGTAGATCGCTCTGATCCCTCTTTCTCATCCTGTTTATACCAAATCTTCTTATTTGTGGAAGTTTTCTGCTCCCATTTCATGACCTTTTGTTTACATATAAATAATAATGTTGGACAGTTTTGTTTAGTAGTCAACAACTAAGACCCAGAGTGTTGCAAGATTAACCTACACTGCAGGAACTAGATCAATATTTGAGCTTTTTTAGCTTCTCCAAAGAGCAGAACGAAGTGTGATGCTGACATCGATCTTAGATCTTCTCAGAGCAATAATTAAATGCTGAGTCTCAGCTGCATCTTCATTTGTGACCTGAATCCCTCAAGGCCTCCTGTCACGAGCTCAGAGCAGAAAATACAAGTCTGGTTCAGAGAAACCAGTTCCTCCGCTTGCTGTTTGTTTGAATACGTTCAAACGTCAACGGAGAAGTTGAGTCAAGTACGTTTATGATGTTTCAAGTTTAATGTCATGAGAAAAATTTAAAAAATCTAGACTGTTCCAGTTTGCACAGCAACAGTAGATTAGAGTCGTGTAGGACTAAAATCTGTTTTTCCTCACAGATGAGTGAATACACCAAGAAAAGGAACAACGTGAGTCCATGTGGACGTGATATGTCCAGCAAAGTGTTGTACGTCATCTGCAAACGTGTGTCCAGGAATCAAATGACTGGCTTATGTATAAGTAGTGGAGTAAAAATGTTTCTTTTTTTATTTAGCGTTATTCACAATAACTTTTTCTTCGGTGGATGCGTTTTTTTTATAATAACTATCCCTGGGGACTAAGGTCAAAGGTTGCATACACTCCACTGCGTTTCCCATGTTCATGTGTTAATGAGTGGACATCAGAGTTTGTCATTTAGATGATAGCCTAATGACTTGGCTCTCAGTTGCTTTCCCTCATTTCTTCACATTGTCTTCTTCCTTGTAGATGGTTAGTGAGAAAGTGGGTGGAGCAGAAGGAACCAAACTAGATGATGACTTCAGAGACTTGGAACGGGTAAGAGGCATGAGAGACCATGTAAATCAGTGTCATCGGACTGGATCTTTTTTTACACATTGCATAAACAAACTTGTTTTCCTGTTTATATTTCCATGAAAATTTTGCAATTCCATAAAATGTCAGCAGCTTCACTCTTTCAACTTGGAAGTTTTTTTGTTTTTTTTTAAAGAAAATTAAAAGTTGGCTCATGAGATCGCATAAATGTTCATTTGCACTAATAAGCAAAAATGTCTAACTGAACAAGCTGCTGCTTCTTTGGTGTAAATATTTTATGTACTGCTGGTTTCTTTGGGTTTTAACTTTTTGAAGTCAAAACAAGCCAGAAGGAGCCATCACTGTGGGCTTTTTTAGAAAAATTTTGATCATATTTATGTAGTTTGTTTGAGACCAACTTTGAAACTAATTGCAGTCAAAATTATGTAGACCACATTGTTGAGGCGAGACTCTGCAAAAGAAAATAGAATATTGGCATTATAACCAGATTTTTAGCAAATCTCGCTCCTCTGCTTGTCCTTGTTGGTTCTTTAGCTGATGGTTCCGTTTGTGTCCTTGTAGAAAGTAGATGTAACCAGTAAAGCTGTAGTGGAGGTGATCTCCAAAACCTCAGAGTACCTCCAACCCAACCCAGGTGAGAGGAAATCCTGTTTGCATCTGTATGTCTAAGTGTTTTTCTCCCCAGAAGAAGCTCCAGTGGTGCTCTGCTGCACAGTGGTGGCCTCATGGAGGGGGCCATCGGCTTGAACACTGCTGCTAACCACTTAAGCCGGGCGTACACTGTGCGACTTTTTCACTCGTAGCACTCCGCTTCAGCTCAAACTGTACGACTTCCTCGCAGAGCAGATCTCACGAGTCGTGTGCTCACACTGCACGACCCAGTTCTCGGATGCGACCTGACTGCTCACACTGTACGTCTGGTAGCAACACGTCGGCCCTAAAAATATGCTAAAAATAGCAGTTTTTACTCAACACGTCAGACTTTTTTGTCTTGTCTTGCCTGTTGTCCTTCGGGAGTGCTGCAGGAGGACACACAGGGGTTTATGGGGGTTGGATGAGGAAAACGAAATAAAGAGAGTAAATCTGTGTTTTGTGATCAGTTTAATTTGACATGAACACGACAAACACGCTTTCTTGACAATCTTTGTGAGTAAAAAAACGTGTAGAAACAAAAACGAACAGCGTGTGTTATTAGGGAAATAGCGAGCGACCGGTGTTGATGCAGGATTGCGCGCGTATGCGCCGTGAGCGGTTCTGATACATTTTGGATCGTAGCTGCTCGCAGCGCTGCTTCAACAGTGCGATACCCTCACGAGAGACGAGCGAAATATTAAACACACCAGAAGTCCGTGCGACCTCACCTCTGCTGATCGGTAGCTGGTCACGTGGTGTTAATCGCCTCTCGTAACCCCCTGTACACTACACGACCGCTCGGCGCAAAACTCGCCCCGATGTCGTGGATTCTCGCACGACTGGAAAATCGGCTCAAAAAAGTGAAAAAGTCGCACAGTGTACGCCCGGCTTTAAACGTTCTCCCTTTCCTGATAATAACATTTTACTTTCTTTTACATTGAATGTGCTACGACTAGTTTACCCGTTAAATTATAGATTCACTAGGATAAATACAATAAAGTTTGTCTCTCACTAAATAGAATATTTACTAAGAAATCACAATGTAACCACAGAAACATTACTTAGTATTTATGTTGTGTGTGTGTGGATGTGTGTGTGGGTGGGTTGGTGTTGGTGTATGCGTGTGTCTGCTCTGTCTTCTCGATCCCCAGTGAGTCGTGGAGGATGGCTGCTTATACTGAGCCAGGATTCCCTGGAGGTTTCTTCCTGTTAAAAGGGAGTTTTCCTCTCCACTGTCGCTAAATGTTTGCATAGTATGAGGATTGCTATAAAGTCACTGACACTAGTCAGTGATTCGATGCAATCTTTTGGGTTCCTTATATAGGAAACTTTTTACTGATTGGCTTAATGAACTGACTTGTATTGGAATGTTTACTATGTGAAGTGCCTTGAGATGACTCTTGTCGTGATTTACTGCTATATAAATAAACTTGAATTGAATTAAATTATTTAAACAGAAATGACTTTGATTTACCTTTGCAGCATCGCGGGCCAAGCTGTCCATGTTAAACACCATGTCTAAGATCCGTGGTCAGGTGAAGAACCCAGGTTACCCTCAAGCTGAGGGGCTGCTCGGGGAGTGCATGTCCAAGTTTGGACGCGAACTCGGGGAGGACACAAACTTTGGTAAGACTGGTTTGTTCTGGTTTAATGCAGCGAATGAGTAAAGTGTGTAATTACCTGTTTAGTAGGTGAGGTGCATGTGTGTGCACGCCTGGTATAAGTTTATAGTTCATTACTAAACAGCCAAAATAGTAAAGCAGTATTTGTAAAATTCCTTTTGCCTTTTTAAATTTTTGGGCATTTTTCCCAAGGGCGTAGATAGGATTTTCAAACTGGGGGGGACAAAGTTCCAATGTACCCTCCCCCAAACACACACACACATGCACGTACACACGCACGTACACATACACAAGCAATTGCAAGAGCCTTAAGCTTGGTTTATGCTTGATGCATTTACTTAACGCTTGATGATGCGGCTCGCGGATGGAACGCGCTTCACAACTTGCAGCGTTTATGGTTCATGCGGCTTGTCTCTGCGGTGAGCTAATATTCTCCCAAACTGTAGGGGGCAGCATGGAGCTCTACGGCATGCATCCAACACTACACCATAGTAGAAGTAGAAATTACTGTTTACAACATGGCATTCCAGAATTTTTAACAGCGTCCTGGTCTTTTCCGGCAGTGCGAGCTATTTCTCTCCAAGAATTATTAACAACATGTTGATCACGGTGATCTCTGAGAGCTGAATCATACAAATGTCTGTATTTACGAACCTCTGCCATACTAGTTCTTGCCAGTCCGCCATGTATTTCCGCGTCCGACCATCCACGTGGTTAGTAAATTTCCTAGGTGCGCGGTGCGGAAAGTTTGGGCCGTGCGGAGGCGCGGTGGAGGGACGTGGTTGTTAAAATGACGCAATTTTGCCGCGCGGAGCCGTGCGGACCTCGCGGACGCATCAAGCATAAACCAACCTTTAACTAGAGCTCAGTCAGTTTGTGTAATTTCATCCAATGGTTTACAAAAAAGTGAACACTATTATATACGTGTTTGAAGCCATTATGCAATGGAACGCTGGCAACAAAGCTCTGCCTGATCAACACTCTCCAAGTCAGTCAATCAATCACTAACCAAAACCTCATGCTTTATGTAAAGCATGTTTTATTTAAACATGAACTGATTTTCAGCATACCAAACTTTACAGAAAACATAAAAAAGCCCTATGTAAAATTCTGCACATAAAATATAATAAAAAACGATATTCACATCACTTAGAGCAGTGGCTCCCAAACTTTCAGTCTCTGACCAACAAAATTTAAATGTATGAGGCCTATCACCCCGACTCTTGGTTTCTGAGTTAGTTGAAAAAGTGGCACAATGAGAACACAATCAGCATCAATAACCAATATATATTGACCAATATATTTGCTTTTATCAGTTTGCTTTGATTTATAAAAATTAGTCGCTTTCTAATTGCCATTAGAGATATTTACATTTCTGATATTTACATTTTTTTTTCAAGAGGATTTCAAGACCCCACACTTACATGTTTGTGACCCCAAGTGGGGTCCCATCCCCAACTTTGAGAAGGACTAAATTAGAGTGCCTTGCTTACCAATGAACTATATATATATATACATATATACAGTATATATATATATATATATATATATATATATATATATATATATACATATATATATATAAGTATAAAAACGTAGTCTACAAGACAGTTTTAAATTCACTCAGGCAAACAAATGAACCGTTCAAAAAAAGATGAAGTAAAGGACCCAAACACCTCTCTCCTTCTTCCAGTCCCCTCTACATCATACTGGGCAGTTTCACGTCTGTTCAAACTGTCCAGCCCTTTGGGCGCCAGAGTTTTTACAAGAAAATATTAAATTTTAGCATGACTATTTCAAAAGGTCGCAGCTTGGATATGGTTAGAGATAAAGCTAAACTATAGAAGAGAAAAATCTTTAGTAGGACCCAAAGTTTGTGTTGGGAGCAAATTCACTCATCTAATTTGCGTATTATGATGTCATCAGGCTGCCGTATTTGAATGCATAATTTTTACAGATGTTACTCCTTATTTTTAAGCTATTTTGAAATTTTCATTAAATTTGGAAAGTTTTAATTTATATATACATAAATAAAACTCTTTTTAAATGTTATGTTTTACTTTCATTTTTATGATTATGTGGCACACTTTGACGTCCATATCTAACGCATCGCATCTGCCCCTTTTTTATGGCCTTTTTTTACATTGTCTCTACGTCTGTCATGTTAGCGGTGTTTTTACCATCATTTCTACATCCATCACGTCCCGGGGGGGGGGGGTCAATCTATATCTGGGTGGGACAGATCCCAACTAGGAGTCACATTTTTTCTAGTGTTAGAAATCTTCAGAGATGGGAATTGTGACATCAACAAGACATCGCCATGCTGTGGTTTTGTTCTGCTCAGCAGCTGGACCAGGCTCATTCACTGTGCTGATTTAAATCACCTGGTTTAGTTGCTGAGCTGAAGGAAAAACACGGCTTGTAGATGACTTGTTGACGATATACTTTTCCCATTCCTGGAAATCTTCCCTGAAATGTTTTTGTCTGTCTCTGGCATTCAGGAATAGCTCTAGTAGACGTTGGAGAGGCCATGAAGAGATTAGCAGAAGTCAAAGACTCTCTAGACATCGATGTGAAACAGAACTTTATTGATCCATTGCAAGGGTTGTATGACAAGGACCTCAGAGAAATACAGGTCAGTAATGCTTTTCATTTGTTTTACAAGTGTTGTTTAGCACTCGTAAAATCTTAAAACATTGTTTGTTTTTTTATCTGGTAAAGTGAATGTATTACTACTATTTAAACATTGTCTCTGACCTTTTATAGCACCATCTGAAGAAGCTCGAAGGTCGTCGACTGGATTACGACTACAAGAAGAAGCGTCAGGGCAAGATACCAGACGAGGAAGTCCGACAAGCCCTGGAGAAATTTCACGAGTCTAAGGAAGTGGCTGAGACCAGCATGTACAACTTGCTTGAGACTGACGTGAGGACCTTTTTACAGCTTAAACGTGTGGTGGCTTCTTTTTTCCACCAAGTATAATTTAAAGTCTGATTTTTACAACTACTCACGATCTATTGTGATTCCGATTCTTGGGTTGGTGATTCAGTTCTGAATCGATTTGCAATCAGTTCTCTTAGTAACAGAGCGTCAACGTGTGTTTGTGTGTGTGTGTGTGTGTGTGTGCGTGCGTGCGTGTGTGTGTGTGTAGATCGAGCAGGTGAGCCAGCTTGCATCGCTGGTGGAGTCTCAGCTGCAGTACCACAGACAAGCTGTACAAGTGCTAGAGGAGCTATCTGACAAACTGCAGGACAGGTAAGTGGACAGGACACACCAACAAGTCCTCTGCTTGAAGCTGTTCCAGGTTTGCAGCTGATTCATTAGGCCCGAGCAGTGAAGCTGCGAAGGCCTATTGTATCTGCTCCGTTTCTTCTTATTATTATTATTATTATTATTCTTTTTTCTTCCGCGTCTTTGAATGGCCTTTAGGGGGTCTTAGCATATCCAAAAAGTCACCAAATTCTGGCCCAATATAGAAAGTGCGTGAAATTTACGTATTTCACTGGCGATGTGAAAGTTCGTAAAAAATTGGCTGAACAGCGCCCCCTAGAAAGTGAAAAATACCCCTCTCCATAAAGCTTAGTTTATCGTACAGTTATGAAATTTGGTACACTTGTAGTACTCAACAGTCCGCACAGAAAAGTCTCTTGCAACCATGGTCTATATCACACAGGAAGTCGGCCATTTTAGGTTGAAATGGCGATTTTTAGCCATTTTGGCCATTTCTAGGGTCTATATTTGGTTGAACAGTTTGGTCATTTTTCGCACGATCGTCTCAAAAATTGTGTGCGATCGAACAGAAGCGATGGCCGATTCAAATGAGAAAATAAAATTGACTTTTCGTAAATACTGAAGGGGCGGGGCCAGGCCTCAAAGTTCGAGCACTCGCCAAGAAAATTCAAATTGCTATAATTTCATAAATGAAAGAATTACAGTTAAAGTAACATTCTATGGACAATCGTCATCGCCCCCCGAAGACAAATGAATGGTTGATTGGTGATGTCACATAAGCCCCGCCCCCTCAGTACTTAAAAGGTCAAGTTTTACTGGGAAATTTTCCAAAATTCGCCCTTTCAAATAATCATCCCAAATTTGTAGCTGGTAACTGAAGACAAGTTGGGGTTTCTTGGCGTCACTTTATGGGAGTTTTCTGCAGAAGGCGGGGCAGTGGCGGCACGGCGAAATCAGGCGTACCGACGTGGCCTTACGTTTGCCTCCCATTTCGTCATTTCTAGAGATATCGCCACGACACTTCTTGGGAGTGATCCTAGTCTGGCCCCCAAAAGAATCTGATGTGAACATCCGGTGGGCGTGGCCTATTTTCTGAAATAGCGCCCCCTAGGACCATTAAAACTGTCAGCCCCAAGCCATGCTTTGACTGAGGAGTACGAAATTTGGTACACTAATGTGGTGTCTCAGGACCTACAAAAAAGTCTCTTGGAGCCAAGTGCGAAGTCACACAGGAAGTCGGCCATTTTGGTCCAAGTACTGGATTTAGTGGTTTTCGCACACGTTGTTTGGAGAAGGATGCTCCATCACTCTTTTCACCAATCACCTTCAAACCTCTGTCATACACTCTTAAGACATAGATGAAAAAATTCAACCGTCGGATTTTAAATAAGTATAAAGGTGTGGGCGTGGCTAAGCCTCAAACTTTGACCTGTCGCCACGCCACTCTTTTTTTCACAGCTCCCTATTGGCCTCCTTTTAACCAATCACCAGCAATCACTGGCTAATAGCAGCAGACAAGTTGAGGTCAATTGGTCTATAATACTGGCAGGTTTCGAATAAAGGCGGGGCTTTGGGAGCATGGCGAAATTCGCCATCACGCCATGGAAATACGTTTGTCTCTCATTTCTTCTATCACTGTGACATCGCCACACAATTTCTGATGAGTGATCCTACTCTGACCCCTAATAGATTTGGACAGCTGAAGTTTGTGGGCGTGGCCTATTTTCTGAAATAGCACCCCCTAGGACCATTAAAACTGTCAGCCCCAAGCCTTGCTTTGACTGAGGATCACGAAATTTGGCACACTAATGTAGTGTCTCAGGACCTACAAAAAAGTCTCTTGGAGCCAAGCACAATGTCGCACAGGAGGTCGGCCATTTTGGTCCAAGTACGCGATTTAGTGGTTTTCGCACACGTTATTAGGAGAATGATGTCTCGTCGACCTTTCCACCGATCACCTTCAAACTCCTGCTATATACTCTTAAGACATAGAGGAAAAAATTCAACCATCGGATTTCAAATAAGTATAAAGATGTGGGCGTGGCTAAGCCTCAAACTTTGACCAGTCGCCATTACGTTACTTGACTTAGTAACTCTCATGTGCATGATCAGATCAATTTCAAACTTTGTCTGTGTTATCACTGACCACATCTGAAGACAGTGACAATGTGGACAGCTGGCATCACCTAAGCCCCACCCCCTGACTACAGGAAGTTTACTGTTTTATGGTGAAATGCCCATATTTGTCCCCTCTAATTTAGTCAACATGACACAAAGGTCATGCACTGTCTTCATGATGTTGTAATGACCATTCAGATCTGATAGCTTTTCAGAAAGGGAGGGGCTTTGATGCCATGGTGAATTCTGTTCTGGTGGACGTTTCTGTTCTGCTGACGCGCCCTGTTGTCCCGGGCTGCTGGTCAGGAAGGAGCGGCGGGGTGCTGGGTTTTGAGAGCATTGGGGATGGAGCGGAGGGGGTAAGGACGGAGGGCGAGCAGCTTCGCTGCGAGGGCCGAACGACGCTGCTTGCAGCTTTAATTCAGACTTATGTTTTATATGATTTTTTTATATGAATTAATCTTTTTTAACAGAATGAACGAAGCTCAGTCTCGTCCAAGACGTGAATACACACCTAAACCTAAGCCCATGTTTGATTTTGGAGACAACAACCACTCGAACGGTGGCTTCTCTACCTCGATGGCCCCTCCCCCATCACGCAGCACAGGTAAAACACCGATGTAATGTAGATTGTTTCTGTATTCATTCTTCTATTTACGTTACTGTCAAAGACAAATTCCAAGTTACATTTTGAAGGGGACATGAATGAATGAATGAATGAATTTTATTTGGTACAAGTAACAACTGAATCCAGTTGATCTATGGTTCCAAAAGGGTATAGGCAGAAGCAAAGCTTAGTGTTTGCCTACCCCTTTTACCTTAGACTATCACCATGACACTGCAACTCTAAAACATACAGGTTTAAAAATGTGTCTAAGAACTTTAATTTTCTTCCATATCAGGAAATGAAAGAATGAACAAAAGAACTATTGCAACACATAACAAGAAAATTACAAGGCATATCAACCTAATTTTCTCTACTATAACAAAAAATAATATTTTCTTTATAACATCCCTTAAAGCTCAACATGTTAGTTATATTTTCAGGACAACAGTTCCAGATATTTATACCTTTGACAGACATACAGTGATTTTTAACCACAGTACGGGTCTCTGGTTTTTATGAATAATAAAGAACCTCTCAGGTCATAAATAGATGTTTTCATTTGGAACAGAGTCTGAACACAATTAGGCAGAAGTTGGCTTTTTGCTTTATACATAATTTGTATTTGTATTGAGATGAAATTGACTAAGTCACTGAATTTCAAAATGTTCAAATGGATGAATATTGTGCTACCTTTTGTAGCCTGGCCTGCCAGACTCGTCCTCTGCTTAATTCTGCACATAGAAAGAGTCTGGTAACTCACAGGCAGAGAGGCACTTGAGGGCGGGACTTGGCAGCTCAAAAGTAACCAATCAGAAAAAAGACAGAAATGCCGACTGAACCGCACAACGCTGTAGTTTTCTAGTTGTAGTTTTTAAAAAAAATTAAAGAAGGCATCTGGCAACGGGGCAAACATCTTTTATTTTTTTAGAAGAAATGCTTTTAGCGCTTCTACTCGTGGTTTTAAAGACATTTGAGTCATTTAGAACTGAGGAAAGAGCCGCAACGAACTCCGCCGCTGTCTTCGTTGTTTATGAGAAACTGACTGTTGCTGTGTGTGACGTCCGCGACGCAGTAGTTTTTTAGCTGTAGTCAAAAATGGAGTCTGGCAACGGTGCAAACATCTTTCTTTAGAAGCAAGGCTTTTAGCGCTTCTACTTGTTGTTGTAAAGACGTGTCCAAGTCATTTAGACAAGAGGAAAGACGCAGCGAACTCCGCTTCAGTCCCCATGTTCAACAAACTCGACGTTATGGTGTGTGACGTATGACATTCACCGCTGATTGGCTCGGTTAGAATTCTCACGGGGTGGGTTTATTTGAATAGGAGAGTTCCCAGACCCTTTCTCTGTGCAGAATTAAACAGAGGAGGTGTCTGGCAGGCCAGGCTAGACCTGTTGCATAATTTTTCCTGCTATATGTGTCTGTACTGCCTCTATAAACACTCTGTGTTAAAAAAATGAGTTTTTGGTTTTAGGAGTTATGTGCTTAAAACAAGCTGTTTCAAAAATTCCCTGTTTGTGATGTCACACACAAGAAACTAGCACAGAACCACCTCTCTTGTGCAAGTCCGAGCTCCGAGCCCCTCCTATATATCAGAGCTTCTCAGCTAATAGCAGCCTGATCTGGGGATGGGTGAGCTCCAGCTTATTTACTTAAAGTGACAGAACCCTGAAACTGCTCATTCTGGAAGGTACTGAAACTGTTAGGAAAGAACTTCATGGTGTCAATCTTAGAACCGTTACAACTTCAGAATAAAAGTCATAACATGCCCCTTTGGTAGTTGTGGGGGTCCAGAAGAGGAGTCGTTGATCTGATCGTTCAAAACTCTGAGCTCTCCTCTCCTTTAAAATCCTGCAGATGCTAATCTACAGTCTGTACATTTGCCAACATGATTGCACCATAAACAAACACCAGTAAGAACAAAGGAACAAAAACAACCTAAAACTCCTCTTGTAGTTTACTTTCTCAATGACAGTTCTAGATATTTTAGTTCAAAACTCTTAAAATTACATAATTTAGTTATTGACAAAGACAAACTGATAAATAGTTTAACGTGTAAGGTATTCTCTGTGTGTGTGTGTGTGTGTGTGTGTGTGTGTGTGCGTGTGTGCGCGTGTGCGTGTGTGCAAGTGTGTGTCCCGCCTTGTTATCTAGTTGGCCCTTCTCCGACTGACCTTGTTCCCTTTTCCTGTGACATCAGCAGACCACTCCTTTCTCTTTGCTTCATTGTCCTTTCGGAAACCAGGATTGTGTGAGTCACAAATTGTGTGTGTGTGTGTGTGTGTGTGCGCGCGCATGATATGATATGATATACATGGTAGTTAACAGCAGCTGCCCCTCAGTGGCTTTCATTATGATGTGTTGTGAAAACAAAAGAAAGAAGTGTGTCGTTTTTGTTTGAAGCCCACATCCTGTCTCCTCAACCATTCCACCTTAACCTTAAAACTGAGTTGACTAAACTCAACTGTCTTGTTGTTTTAGCATTTTGTCTGCTCTTTGATCTGAAAACAGTGAAGCATGAAAAAGGACTAACATGTGACAGCCTGCATTAGGAGAGTAACGGTACGCTAAAATTGTATTCAGTTTGGTTCAGTGTCATTGAAGAGCTTGGTTCGATACATTTTCTGTATATATTATTATAATTATTTAATTATTTAATATCTAAAGTGGCTCCTATAGTGAGCAGAACCAGGTGTTATCACAAGCTGCTGATCTAGCGTGATGTCTTTAATTATTTCACAGGTTATTTGTGCAGCTATGAGCGTCACGCTCATATAGAAAAGCGTTGTTTGACTGTTGATGCTCCGTGTTTTGATTTCTGCAGCGAGCCGTAAAAACTCACGTCACACCACCCAGAGTGTCTTCTTTAAAACTCGTATTAATAACAAGCTTCCTCTGTGCCGTATTTTTCGTTGTAGGATGAAAACTTTACATCAATTATCCCAGGCGAGAAGTTCAGCAGACATGTTTGTTTACATTTTGACGCTGTGTGCCTGCAGTGTGAGAGAAGGGAGGGAGGGGCGACGCTCCATTCAGCATCTCTACAGGCTCCACAGTAGCAGCGACAATCAGCTGGTTTAATCCACCTTGAAAGGCGTTGATCAGAATTTGCAGATCACATTTTTTAAACGTCACTCAATACAGCATCAGGAAATTTTATCTGCTCCACTTAAATCATGCAAATAAAAATTCATTTTTTAACGTAAAAAATAAACCAAAATGGTACACAAGTGGGCCGAACCGAACAGGCTGAACCAAAATGGTTCAACACTCCCCCGTGAACCGTTACACCCCTAGGCTGCATGTTGGGATGGTGTTAAACATTTAACTATCAGTAACACATAAGTAACTGTCAAGAGTAGTGGTAACTGACTTTTTTAGTGATTAACACATATTTTTAAATATATTTTTAGAGTATTTTGGTTATTCTTGTTCTGTTTTTTCTCTTTTAAGTAGCCCTATGATACACCTACTCTATGTTTAAAGCATCAAACTGGAGTTTTCCCTCTGTCAGGAATTGCATGATTGTTTTTAGAAATCTATAAAAGTGAAAGTCTTACCCTGTGTTGTGATGATGAAGGCAATATGTCTTTTTGTTTTTGCTAAGCCCGCCCCCACCTCAAAGAGCCCCATGAAATCTGATTTGAGAGCCGCTCAGCATTCACCACCAGTGTTGGTCATCTGCTTACATACAGATGTCAATCAGAGTGTACACACATGTTTGCTAAAGTACCTAGACTGATGCGGAGTCAGCAAAATAGCTTATAGACAAGCCTTTAAACATATGTAAGAATTAATAGCACAACGTGAGAATAATTATTGTGAAAAACAGAAGAAATAGTGTTTTAACTTGGTTGGCCAACTAGAGATGCACATTCACGAACAAGGAGGGATTCCGACCAGCTGTAATCATGGATGAAGGGGGTGGGTAAGGTTGCAATAATGTTGTTCCACCTTTAGATGCTGCCCTCTGTGGAAAAAAGCTCTTGGGTTTTTTTTTATTTAACCATAAAGTTGAAGTCCCATTAGTTGTCACACACACACACACACACGTGTGTGTTAGGGATGCACCGATGGATCGGCATTTGATCCCAATCGGCCGATAGTGCCCCTATCGGTTTTGATCGGAGTTTTAAAAAAAGATCAAAGCAGACCGATAGACCATTTTAGATTAGGTTACATTTCCTTTATTCCCAGATTATGTAGTTTGTAGCACTCATTATAATGTTGTAGAAAATTTCTGGCCAATCCACGTGATCGGTATCGGTGATCAGCATTCTTTGATATCGGTATCGGTGATCAGCATTCTTTGATATCGGTATCGGTGATCAGCATTCTTTGATATCGGTATCGGTGATCAGCAGCAAAAAACCTGATCGGTGCATCCCTAGTGTGTGTGTGTGTGTGTGTGTGTGTGTGTGTGTGTGTGTGTGTGTGTGTGTGTGTGTGTGTGTGTGTGTGTGTGTGTGTGTGTGTGTGTGTGTGTGTGTGTGTGTGTGTGTGTGTGTGTGTGTGTGTGTGTGTGTGTGTGTGTGCGTGTGTGTGTGTGTGTTTGTGTTTAGACACCACCATGCTCTATAACCATTTGGTGGTTTAACCCCCAATCCAACCCAACCCCTTAAAGCTGACTGTCAAGCGGGGAGGCATTGGGTCCCATTTCTAAAGCCTTTGGTATGACCCGGCCAGGATTTGAACCCCAATATCCCAGATTCAGGGAGGACACTCATACCACTAAGCCAGCGAGCTGGTCTAACCATGTGTAAATAATTCACTTTTAAGACCGTAGCTCAGATATTTTCCTAAGATTCACACGTTTCCTTTCTCAGATGAAGTTGTCACCCAGTGCTTATAGTGCAACTTTAATTACTCCTTTCCTTTTGAGGCCAAGCAGCCTTCCTTTGAGCCTGGGCTGTGACAGTTGGTTCACTTTGCAGATTTGCAAGTTTTTGAGGAAGTTTCCAAATTGTCCCAAAATGTTCACAAGGATTCTGGGTTTCTTCATAAGAGTCGTAGGGCTTTGAAGGCTCCTCTGAAATAGGCTACTGTGAGACGGTGCCAGCGCAGCAGAGTTGACTTTTTTCATTACAAAAGTGTTTTTATTTTTCTGCTTCTGTAAAGTGGTAGTGAGTAAATGAGAACAAGTGACCAAGGCTGTCCCTTCCCGGCCCAGCCAGCAGGGTGGTGGGTGAACTTGACACAATGAGAAAATTGTCTGGCAGCAAAAAGCCGAGTTTGTCTGAGCGTCCATTGCTGCTGGTGGACGTGAGGTCAGAGGCAGAAAGACAAAGCCAATGAGGCCAGTCCCACAGGGACCTGGTGTTGGTGTTTTGGTTCATGGTCAAGGACTTCCTCGATAGGATTTATAAACTTGTTTGCATTAGTAAAAGAAAACATGCTTGGTGAAATGCAAAAGCTGAGCACTGTGCGGGCCCTTTGTGTCTGAATGTTTGAGTTGCCTTCTAATAATTTCTTCCTCGCCTCCTGTTTGTTTCAGCTCCGGAGCAGCCGAGCTGCAAGGCGTTGTACGACTTTGAGCCAGAGAACGAGGGAGAGCTGGGCTTCCACGAGGGAGACGTCATCACCCTGACCAATCAGATCGATGAAAACTGGTATGAGGGCATGCTGAACGGCCAGTCAGGATTCTTCCCTCTCAACTACGTGGAGGTCCTTGTTCCGTTACCGCACTAATATAAAAAATGGAGCTATACAAGTAGACTGAAAGAGGAGCAGAGGGAAGGAAGGAGCAGAACCAGTGAGGAGGAAGATAAGGTTTCATTTTCACTTTTAGCTCCAGCGTCATCGCCACAAACAAGCACTTTCGTCATTATGAGATCTTGAAATGATATCAAACCAGAAGTTATCCATCTGGTTTCTGGAAAAGTCGAATGAATGATGCGGAGAACAGAGACGGAGCATTTTGATCCATCATCTGAAAGTAAGAAGAGTTCCTTAAAGATGGACTGGTGACTCGGTTTTAAGCAGTACTTCTTCATCCCAGATGAGAGACACAGAAACTAGTTTCACTGGGGTGACCCACTTAAGTAGGTCCACTTAATAGGTTTTATTCTGAATCAATGTGTGTAAGCAGGACTGAACTGTCATTTCACAACTAGAACAAATGTAATGAGCCCTTTATGCCTCCTGCGGGCATCACCAAGTTTTACACCCATCTTAACTAAAATGAACTACTAGAATTTGTGAAATTAGTTACCTGACAAAAAGGAAAGTATTGTAGAAACTTGAGCCAAAATAGTGTCTAACTTGTGATTTAGACAGTTCTGACTCCAGTTTTGTTTTATTTCATTTTAAAGTAGTTGTCTGGTTATTGGTTTTAGCTTCCAGCAGATCCGATTGAGTGGTTTCCCTGTAGCTTCAGCGGGTTAAAAGGTTTTATGGTAACAGAATATATGAGAAACAGCTGTAACAGCACACGGGACACCTCCACTCACAGACCCAAAGGTAAATGCAGAGGTTGCACCCTTTTTGTCACTTAATGCAGGTGTGTAGTTGTTGCTAAGAAATGACCGATAAATATGGTTACCTGCCAGTCTGTTCAACAGAGGAAACGGAGCCAAAAAGACTTTAAAATGCAATATAAGTGTTGAACGCTTCTGTTTGTTAACCTGCTAATGATTCTGTAACAGCCATATATACATGTAGTTCCTGTGCTGTTTATTGTACTTATTACACTTTGTTTTTTTTTAAAGCCATGTCAGCCCTGTTTAAGGCACCAGGTAAGTCCACACAGTGCCTGATTAGAAGAAGCTGCTGGCAGCGACGTAGTCTTTTCTATTCGTCACCAAGTCCCCGCTGTTACTGTCTGTGTCTCAGAGAATGTGAAACTTATCTGATCCTGTAACTCTGATCGTTCAGAGACGTTTCGTCTGTCCCAACTTTAGGCTCATTAACTCGGATGTGGCATCTTTTCAGATGAGGCTGGATTCTTGTACGTGGACTTTAGCACAGCTGCATCCAACATTCGCTGCAGAGCAAATGAAGGAAGGAGGTTGATTCAAAAGGGAAAACATCCAGGAGGAGTTTTGGACAGCTGTTACCTAAAATAATGCACCGTTTGCTTTCAGTCGTAAGGACATGAAAAAGTTGAAATAGTGACTTTTATGGGCCATTCCCATCTGTACCGGGTCGGCCCGGACCGGGTAGCGTAGGTTGTTTACATATCTGGGTGGCCTGGTATTTTTCCGGGCCAACCAAGGCTCATTCTCAGCCCTCTTCTGGAGGGGGTCTGCTTCAGGCCGACCAGGGCCAACACACCCACTGCTGACAGCAAATTCACACCTTCCATTAGAGCAAGCCTCTGATTGGTGGGTAGAATCAGCTTTAAACAAGGATGTGTGGAATCAACCGGGCCAGGCTGGGGCCGACTGGGGCTACCCGGCCCGGGCCGACCCGGTACAGATGGGAATGGCCCATTAGTCATGTGATTCTTTTCCATCACTCCACCCTCCCACTCCTGAGTTTGGTCCTGATCTTCTACGTTTACATCGGTTTTACATCTCACGGCCTGTATGTAGATCAGGGCCTAGGGCCATGCTTTGTGGATTATTAGAAAAATCCCTGTGATTTATTTTAGTGCCTGTGGAAAAGAAAGAAACTTAACCCAACTGTTTTGTTTTTATTTGGCACTTTTATGTATTTAGGGTTAAATGTGTGCACATTAATGACACTACAGACAGTTTCCTGGACACGTTTAGACTGAGTCTTATCAGAAGGCCAGTGGAAACTTGCTTTTTTAAATTTAGATCAGTTTCAAAAAATGTCCCACTCATTTCTTTTTTAAGGGCTACATATTTGTAGAATGAGTCTTAAATTTGCCTTTCCAGTGTTAATTCACCACAGATTTTTGTAGTATTACTTTTTTATACAAAACTTTAAAACATTTAAATTAATCTTTGCATGTACACTTGTATTACATCTTGTTTGTCTTAGATTTAAGTTGCCTTTTTTTTTACTTTTGGTCTGAATACAGAATTTAACTGCAATATTTTTTTACCCCTTCATTATGAGTATGTGCTTCCTTCTTGTTCCCTGCAGTCTTACCAGAAAATAAAAAAGAAATATATAAATATTGTGTTTCATAGATTTCAGTCCCATCAGATGCTCACAAGGAACAAATGAAGTTATGCATTAAATAATATAAAATAACAGTAAGTCGTGTTTAAATAATTCCAGTGTGTTTATTTTATTATTTGTGGATCAATATTCAGCAGGCTTAAGGCATGTATGTCACAGTACACAGTTAATAAATACAGTAACGTTCAAAAGGAAGCAAATATCTGTCTTTACGGGACAGCTGAGGGTACATTCACAACACAATGCCACACACGCACTAACACACACCTGTTGTATCGGAATAACTGGCTTACTTTCATCAAAAACCTTAAAAAAAACGGACTTAAAAAAGCACAAACAAAAACAACACCTATCGCAAAGTAGTTCTAACACAGAGACCTTTGCACATTTGTTATAGTGTATGTTTTGCACTACTATTCATTTTCCCCACAACTATTCCATTGGTTGAGACTATAAAGCAAAAACAAGAAGTCAACAGTTAAAACAGTACTTATCCGTCAATATCTGGTCATGTAGTCACAGACAGGCACATAGGTCCATGTGGGGAAGGCCAAAGGCTATCCAGGCTGGCTGATGGAATACCACTAGAGTGTATACTGTCACATGTGTTTTCTACGGGTGCTGGTGAAGGTTCTCGGTCATCCAGGTCATGATAATCCAAAAAGGTTCAAATGAAGGCAACTGGACTTCTTTGGTGTCTTGATGACAATTTGCTTCTCATCTGAGGAGCTTTGTCAATTCTGACTGGAATATGGGAGAGTCAAGCTTATAAACTATAGCTGTTATCTTAATGAGCAGACACTACTCTTGAGTACCTCCTGTTGCAGGAAGGTCACACCTTCCTCATCAACATGATTCCCTCTCAATAGAGACTAATGACTCATCGGGGTAGAGAGGAGGGGTGCTCAGAGTAGTTTCTGCATGTTAAATAACAATAGACCGCTACTGTAGTGACTATCCAGTCACACTTGGGTGCGGGTGGAGGCAAAGACGCTTCAACATCATTGTCCAGACGAAAGGTGCATTTGGGTTTGTATTCCCATTTGTTGAAGACGTTGATCAGAAATGCACAGTTCAGCGCCGCGTTTTCTTATTGAGATTTATGCAAACGACAAAAATTATAACTGCAAATTTGTTTGTTTAATGAAAACCAACGAAGCGGTAAAAACCGTGACCCCCCCATCACCCAAAAAACAACCAGCACACTGCCACCTTTACACTTATATAGACTCCACAGGTGCTACCAGTGATTCAAAGAAATCAAAGCCACAATGCAATTAATTGAAACCAACTTAAGGTGCTTTATCATCTTACCCAGAACAATATTGGTTACTACAGTTTATAAGCTTGACTCTCCCATATTCTGGTCAGAATTGACAAAGTTCTTCGGATGAGAAGCGAAACGTCTCCATGAAACTAAAGAAGTCCAGTTGCCTTCATCTGAACCCGTTTGGATTTCGTACACAGGGTTTTTTCTGATTGAATGGGATATGATTTAATTTGTGTTTCTCTTTTCATAAATACAGTACAACCTCCAGGAGCAGCTATAATCATATATTAAAGCACCTCTACAGTCACAAATGTGTCTGACTCACATTAATGCTGTTAGACTCAGGCGTGAGCTCATTCAAGGCATCTAGAGATGTTTATCAAGCAGAATTAACGACGAGTGCCCACCGTGCACGGTCCATCAGATCCACAGGACAAGTGTTTGAAATGAGAGGACTTGACCATAAGCAAGTTCAGGTCACACAAGCAGCGCAGATCTCAGTGCATAACACTCAGCTGACTATAGACATGCTCCAAGATCTGGGAGTAGGCCTGGTCTTTGGGGGCGTGGCAACTCAGGGAGCCCTGTGGAGTGAGACTGTCACTGTCAGCCGAGGCACCTGGTGTAAGAACCTGGGAGTGGGTTGCTTAGACGTCTTACCTTTATCTTGTCCATCATGGTGGTATCAGGACACCAGTACTGGTTGAACTGGACGAGGTCTGGAGCTGCTCTGTAGTATTCAACCAGCAGCATCTTTGGAAGAAATAGAAACATCTTAAATTGTGACTTGTTTTACAGGACTGCAGCTGCTCGGTCAGTACCATTTCATTAAGGACATCACTGGTAAGAAAGTTGTCCTGCACGTAGGTGACCTCCACAGCCACTGGAATTCCGTAGTCACTGGGCCGTTGCTGTACACACGGAGAAGTGGTGAGAAATAATGTGTTTCTAAATGAACATAGTAAGTCACGACCGAACAGCCAAATAGACAGAGTCCTTGTGTCCTGACCTCAGGAGGTGGTACGACCCAGAACGGAGTTATTGTAGAGGCCACACCTTGGTTTCCATGGTAATATGGACCTGAAATCATTAAAAGCTCAATAAAACCTTAAGAAAACCAGAAACGACATGATTCTAATACAAGCAGTAAATTCAGACGTTGTTTCAAATGTTATAGTTTTGGTTTTTTAAATCAGCTTGATTCACCTCACTTTACCGCGGTTCAGTTCCTCTATAGATGTTTTCAACCGTTTACTCACCCTGAGGCAACTTTTAGTGATTTAAGTGCGATACTTTTCTCCCCTCACTAACCATTTCAACAGTAACCTCACACTAAGTTAGCACCTCAAGCTTTTAAGCACTGAAAACACATTTTTCCAAGCCAAAATGAATTTCAAAGGGCTGCACTTGTTCAGATCAGCCATTGTGGTATTATAACGCCACACTCTATCCACTGACCACAGATGATACCCAGGCAGGGCTGGAAGCCGTTGTTTGAACCCTGCAGCCTCAGCTGATGATCCATCTGTGAGTCGATGTCCTGCAGCGACGGCAGGGCTGGACCCCGCGGGTGACTGTGGTACCAGCCCACCAACGACAGCCCACGCATGAACAGGTTCTGACAAATCTGGATAAAATTAAACATCCTAATTATTGACTGAACAACGTGTGTCCCAAAGAGGTTTAGGTCATTACATTTAAAAAAAGGTATTCAAGTGATGAATGATGACAAGTTCTGACACCTCAGCTAAAGAAACACCCTTTTTTGAAAAAGTAAAACAAAAACTAGGTATTTTATTCTTTCGTCTCCTGAATGATGCATACGTTACCTCCTCTTCAACAGCAGACGCCGATTCTCGGTCTGCCAGCCTGGTTCGACAGGGGAACGCCCTCAGGACTGTGAGCACTGAAAATCAAGAAGAGATACACGTCAGGAGGTTGTTTAAAGGTGTAGAACTTTGAAGGAAAAAAAAAAGCATTTTTAAATTATTATCTCTGGTTATTTTCGGCCACGGTGAGTTTTTCATGCAGGCTGAACATGAAAATAGTCTCCTACACCTATCTCCTGCATTAGCTTCTGATAGAAAATAGATGGTGAAACTCGGGGATTTGAAAATACTGACAGATCTACATCACACTGTCACTTCACATTCATGGACTCACCCATCTTGACTCACAGCGAGGAAGGCTGTTGTTGATTTAGAATCCAGAAAACAGCAGAGAACGTGTCGGCCTTGTAGAAGCTATCCGTTAGCATTAGCAACTCTGTCGTATGACAAAACTCCTCCAGAGTTGTTTTATTTGTGGAGATAAAACGTCAGTGTTGCAAACAGTCAGTGGTAGAGTCGCGTTGCTGTTATCCAACCAGGTCAACTCACAAGGAATGCATTTATTCTAGAGACTTCTGCAAGTGTGTTGAAAAAACGAGTTTTGGCTAACAGCAACGCGACGGTGGCACAAGAGTTAAGTGCTCGCCCCGTAATCGGAAGGTTGCTGGTTCGAGTCCCGCTCAGTCTGTCGCTGTCGTTGTGTCCTTGGGCAAGACACTTAACCCACGTTGCTTGCTGGTGGTGGTCGGAGGGACCGGTGGCGCCAGTGCTCGGCAGCCTCGCCTCTGTCAGTGCGCCCCAGGGCAGCTGTGGCTACATTGTAGCTCATCCCCACCCGTGTGTGAATGTGTGTGTGAATGGGTGAATGACTGATTGTGTTGTAAAGCGCCTTGAGGGGTTCTAGGACTCTAGAAGGCGCTATATCAAAATACAGGCCATTTACCACTGACCGTTTGCTTTGCAACACTGATGTTTTACCTCTACAAATAACAGGCCTGGAGGAGTTCTGCCATGTTGTAGAGTTGCTAATGCTAACAGTTAGCCTCTACTAGCCAAGACGTTTTCTGCTCTCTCTCCTGGACGCTAATTTTGCCTTCCCTGTCATGAGCCAAGATGGGTGAGCCCATGAATGTTAATTTCCAGTGTGACGTAGGTCTGACAGGCATTTTTAATGCGAGCGTTTCCCCCGTTTATTTTCTATCGGTGACTAATGCAGGAAGTAGAGGTCGAAGACTATCTTCAGTGACCATGGACGTAATTTTCACTTTAGAAGTGGGTGGGACACGGGGTGGGGGTGGGGGTATCTTTACAGTATGCTCTAATGGGAAACAGGCTTCAACACAAACAGTTGTTTTCTGCTTGATCCTAGAGCTCAACCAGTGTCAATTTAATATAGCGTAATATTGTTTTTGGATGGTAAAAAGTGCAGGAGTAAAAACTTGACTTTGGAAAAAGTGGGGACCCCCCCCCCCCCCCCCAAAAAAATTACGTCCATGTCAGTGACCAATCATATTTCACAATTAACAAGTAAAAATGGTTTCTCAGCTAACTTGGCCTGTAACATTTAATCTGTGTGTACTTCATCTTGACAGTAAAGTTACACTCACATTGTGTGTTGGTATCCCAGCGTCCTCCGAGGTATCCCACCACCTCACTGGTGGTCAGGTGACAATGGAAGTCCTGTAAAGGACCACAAGAAAACATCTTTGCTGCTTTGCTTTTTCTTAATATATAAAAGTCCTTATCTGAAGTTACCATTAGCAGCAGAACATTACTGGAGATGGCTACGTTGAATGGCTGGAATCGGTTGATGGCCGAGAACGCTGACAGCTCCACTAGTGTGTGTGGGTCTCTGAGGAAGCAAAATCATAACTCTTCTCTCCTGCAGCACACCAGACGGATGAAGTAAAAAAAAATAAGATGTACCTGGTAGCATCTCTGGTGCCCAAGGTGCAATATCTGACAGGGATCCTCTCTCTGTCGGTTCGACGTGAAACCATCACGTCTGTAACAAAGTAAAGATGAACTTTAGAAAAGTCTGAGACGAGAAAAGAACAGACTCGGAAAAAGAGGAGACCATTTAATCCAGTTTTGTTGTTCTTGTTCTTCTCATCCGTCTGCACAGCTGTCTTTCCTTCCTCTTCATCTTCATCATCGTCTTCTTCACTCACCATGCTCTAAAAACGCCAAGTAATAAAACTGATTAGAAAGCAATAATTGGAAGATTTTTATTTTATTCTATTTTATAATCAACGCACTGTTGTTTATTAATGGTTTATCAGGTTTAATGACTAATACTTTTTCATACTAATTTAAAGTTATTAAATATTTGCAGGTTAAATTGGAGGAAACGTCCTACGATAGTAAAAACGTGATCATTTCCTTTAGTTTTATTGTGAAAATTATTTGTGATTAAAAAAAGTCAACTTGAACACTCACACAGGATTCTGAAAAGCCATAACGTGTGTGATAATTATTTATATTCAATTCAATTCAAAAATACTTTATTAATCCCAGAGGGAAACTGATTGCTGTAGTAACTCAGAATAATAATAATAATCAAGTCATCAAAGAGTTATTGTATATTACAATGGCTGTTGGCAGGAAGGATCTCCAGTAGCGGTCAGTGTTGCAGCCAAACTGAAGAAGCCTCTGACTGAAGACACTCTTCCGTTGTCGGACAGTCTTGTGAAGAGAATGCTCAGGGTTGTCCATCATTTTCTTGATTCTCTGGAGAATCCTTCTTTGCATTATCTCCTCCAGTGGTTCCACAGTCGTCCCCAGAACAGAACCAGCCTTATATATTAGGCTGTTGAGCCTTTTCAGGTCCCTGCTTCTGATGCTGCTACCCCAACAGACGATGGCTGAAGAGATTACACTCTCAACAACAGACTTGTAGATCTGCAGCATCTTGCTACAGACATTGAAGGACCTAAGCGACCTCAAGAAGTGCAGTCTGCTGTGTCCCTTCTTGTAAACAGCCTGGCTGTTCTTTCTCCAGTCCAGTCTGTTGTCCAGGTGAACTCCGAGGTATTTGTATTCCTCAACCACCTCCACTTCTTCTCCCGTGATGGAAACACTGTTTGACTCCACCCTGTTTCTTCTGAAGTCTAAAATCATCTCCTTTGTTTTGTTCACGTTCAAGGTCAGATGATTGTTTCCACACCACAAAGCGCTCCACCAGCTCTCTGTACTCAGCTTCCTGTCCATCTCTGATACACCCGATACACCATTATAGATGTGTTAAGGACTGACACTTTTAGTTTGGGGTTTGTTTGTTTTTTGGTCTCTTTTATGAGTTTATTGCTTGGCTGGTTTAGCCAGCACAGCTAAAGTTTGAGTTCAAAAGTTTTTGATTTGAACACAAAAAAATGTAGTTCAAGCTTGATTTCAAATTCAGTAAAATTCTGCTTCTCATTCGTTTGATTTTAAGTTGTTATTTCTTTGAGATATCCAGGCTGTGATTAACTCAGGAGCCCTGTTAGCTGTCTTACAGATTTAGACACGATGTTTGTCATGAAAGCCATCTTCTATAGGCTTTATCCTATCTTTAAGCTCTTACTAAATCCATTTGAATGTCAACTTTAAACCTGGATGATGATATTTGTCCTGTAGATTGAAAGACGGAAGTCTCACCATGTCTGCACTGGGCTGATACTTGTGCAGCCAGGTGGTTTTGTACTGGGCCAGCTTTTGACCACGGTAGCGCACAGACGCCCAGCCACAGCCAGACTTCTTGGCTGGATTAACCAGGCGTTTACAGTGTGTCGCCCAGGCGCTTGGAGAGTTAAATATCTGGCCCGTCTCCACCCATCTGATTTTCCCATCATTCAACAGGTCTCCTACAAAGTTCTTGCCCTGGGGGAGGTAGGTGAGAGAGGAGCCATTGATTAGTGTGTTGTGACAATCATAATAAATAATAGCGTGAGGTGTGTTGGTACCAGGTAGTGGATGGCCAGCACACCATCCCCCGGCTCCACCAGGCCATCCTTCAGCAGCACTCTCAGGGTGATGCCTCTCCGTGTCAGCAGGGAGCCCCGTCCTGAACTGGTCCTGTAGTCTGCCTCCTCACCGCCACTCAGCTCCTCCTCATCCTCCTCACCTCCATCCTCCACCTGTGGGGAGTTGGGTGGTTCTGAGCCAGAAAAAAAAAAACATTAAACCATAAAAAGTCACCAGGTGATGTGAGGGTGCACGTGGAGAAAAAAAAACCTGCTGGCTTGTTTTGTTATCATCATCATCATCATAATTTTTGTTATTTACACACTCGAGTTCACACAAGGTCACAGTCTGAATAATTCTGGGTTAAAAGTAACGCTTACAAAATTGTAATAACCCTGACTTCTAACTGAACGCTGCTTTGTGATGGCAGTCAGCAGCATTCACGTCCTCATCATCGATTAAATGGATCCCAAATAGCCCGAAATCACACAGAAATAATCTGAATATGAACTGTATTAATTGCGGTTAAACTGCTGGCTTTTGTCTCCAGCTCCCGTTTCGGACACGGCTCTGAGGGCAGAAAGAGGCCTGTGTGTGTGCTTCTCCCCCCTCTCAGTTAATTTCACTCAGAATCAGTTAAAGCCCTCTTTTATTATTCTCACCCATATCTGTGAAACCACGGAGAGCGCCTTTAATCCAACTCGGGCTGAAGCCGCTGCTTTCCGGGGGACCCTTGAGGCTGTGAGCCGCAGCTTCGGGCTGGTTCCGCACACACTTGGAAACACTAGCTCCGGCTATTATTCAAAAACATAAAATGAAGGCGTCCGTGGCTCCGCAGTGTAGTTTCCTTGTTGTGTTGCTTTAATGTCAGTTCCCCTCCCCTTTCTTTCCTCCCTCTCCCCGTCCTTGTCACTCTCCCTGTGTTCCTCTGAACGGCTTCGTCTGACGTGCCCGGCCGGTCTGTTGGCCGGTATTTAGCCTGCTTTCCGTTATCACAGCTAAAACCTAAACAGAAACCGGATACAACGGCATGGGTCGAGCGGGGAAAACGAAAAGACATTGAATGTTTGTGAAAACCTCGAAACATTCGGCGATAAACCAGCGTTTAAAATCAATTGTCGCCTCGTGCGCGTGAAGCAACCGATATTTGTCTCTGGTGCAGCCAAGAAAAGTGCACCCGGGGGGTTGTAAGACACCTCTGTGATGGAGGCATGACACAGAAGCAACAGGGATGTGTGTGTTAAATACGATGTAATAAACTCGTTTCTTTTCCACGCCAAGATGTGGCTACTTTCTTTATCTCTGAAAACAGAAATACAAGAAGTGGCCTGCAGAGGGCAGCAGAGTACTCACCTCTCAGCGTGTTTAATAGCGTCATCTAGTGGCAAGACCCAGAGACTACTTCAAACCTCTGACTCGCTGAAAAAAGTACTTGGCAACACTTAGCAGTAAGAGTCTCTTTATTAGCGCTACTTATTGCATTATTAAGCATTGATAAACTATTAGATAAAGTATTAACAACTGCTTAACAATATCATTACTAAGCAGACACAACCACCTGGCCCCTGTCCTAATTATTTTAGGACACTTACTCCATTTTTGGTTCTTTTTTAAACACAGATAGGGGTTTTCTTGACCTTGCTGACAATTTCGTTTGTGGCTGCAAACAACTTCAGAACTGACACTGATGGTGGCATTTCCTACTCCTTCTGCAGGCAGCAGGAGACGTTGTCGCCCTCTGCTGCCCGCTCTCCCATCTCCGATGATGCAGTCCCATGCGCGATCCAGTGTTTAAACCCCATTGTCTCTGTTCATGGTCCCACATCCACGTCTCCTTATCTCTATGGCTTCCTTTATCCATCTTTTGTATTTCTGTTGTTCGGTGTTTATGATCCTTGTGTTGTCCCAGTCCATTATATGGTTTTCTCTTGTGCAGTGATCTGTTACGGCTGACTTCTTTATTGTACTTTCTGCTTCTTGTTTTGCTGCTCTTGTGTGTCTTCGACTTGCCTCTTTCTCGCACTCCTTTCTATGTTCTATTGTTCGTGTGTTGAGTTGGCGTCCGGTTTCTCCTATGCATGTTTTATTAAAGAATTAGCATGGGATTTCGTAAACGATTCCACATTTAAGTCCAGCTGGTATCTTGTCTTTTGGGTGTACTAGTCTGTTTCTAACTGTTGTGTATGGTTTTGTTGGTGTGTTTTTGTTGAGTTTTTTCATTGTTGCTCTTATCTTTTCTGTTATGCCTTTGATGTATGGTAGGGTTATCACTGGTTTTGGTTCTTGTCTTTCTGGGTTTCTGGTTCTTTGCTTAGGTTGATCTTGTCTTCCTGTTGTTGTTTGTTGTTTTCCTTTGTTTATTGCCCATGTCGGGTATCCGCAGGTCTTTAAAGCGTGTTGTATGTGTTTGTCCTCTTGTTTACGGTCTCTTTCTTCTGTTATTATGTTTGCTCGGTGATATAATGTTCTGATTACTGACATTTTGTGTATGGTGGGGTGTTCTGATGTCCATAATAGATATTGGTCTGTGTGTGTTGGTTTCCTGTATGTGTTTATGTTTAGGGTCCCGTCGGTCTGCCTGGTTATTTTCATATCCATAAATGCTATACGCCTTCTGTTTCTGACTCATATGTGAACTTTATGCTGCCTGTGTCGTCAATGTTATTCAATTGTTGTGTTAGTGTTTCTGTTTGTCCTTTTGGTATGATTTCCAGTAAGTCGTCTACGTAGCGTTTCCATAGTTTTATTTTGCAGTTGGGGGGGCAGTGGCTATGACTTTTTGCTCTAGGTCTTCCATGAAAAACTCGCACAGGGTGGCTGATAACGGGTTACCCATGGCGAAGCCTTCCAGTTGTTTGTATATAGTGTTGTCGTATGTGAAGTAAGTGGAGTTAGCTACCAGTCCTATCAGCTGTGCTATGTCATCTGCTGTGAGGTTTGCTCTTTTGTGTAAAGTCTTGTCCTGTCTGATTCTGTTAGCTACTATGTCTATGGTTTTTTGGGTTGGTGTTTTTGTGAACAGGGATGTGACGTGATGTGAGATGAGTATGTCATTATCTTCTATTGTAATCTTTTTTAGTTATTTTGCCAGTTCTATGCTATTTTTGCAATGTTGATCTGTGTTACCTAATATCGGGCTGATGGTTTTGCTGATTTCTTTTGCCAGAGGACGACAACGTCAGGCTATAGCTGCTAAGTGTAGTGTAGTATATAAAGCTTTAAAAGCACCTAAAATAAATATGTATGCTAATCCTACAATAATAATATTAACAACAACAACAACAACAACAACAACAATAATAATAATAATAAACATTTCAACTAAGTTGGTTCATGCAAAACTTTATTCATTTTTAAACATGCAACATTTAGATCATTTTCATTTTTTATTATGTCACATTTCTGTGAGGTTAAAACCCAGTAAAAGCCTGGCTGGGTGCAATGTGGAAACAGGAAATGAATGGGAAACCGTTGAGATTCGTATCTGGCAGGGTTCGAGATTTTTAGCCACTGTCAGAGCAAAGAGGACGAGAAGGCCCTTCAGCTTCTGATCATTGTATCAAATGCGGGCCATATAGGAGTTTGTTTGTGAAAGCCAGGGTAAACTTGATCAGCGAAACCTCCTTAGCAGTTTTGTTTCTTTTCCTGTATTTCATTTGCATTGTAGCAGGTATGAAAGTCATAGCAGTGTATCTGACCGTGCTAAACACAGCTGACATGGTTAGTGGGGGCCCTGTTGAAGTCCTAGTCTCATGAAAATCCTTAATATCAAGACTGGATCTGCAAACACCTGATTGATTTGATGACTTGTTGGTCTCCAACAGCTTACAAAACTCTTCTGCACACCTTGTGCAGCGTGAGCATCACAGAAAATTCCAGACGACTGCAATCAAACCTGATGCCCAGACGATGCTCATCCCAGCATTGTGGAGCTTTTGCTGAACACGCTCCTGCAGGTCCAGGATGAAGGTAAGCAGAGAATATCCCAATTCAGTTAAATGTCCTGAAAGTTTTAGTTACCGTATTTTTCGGACTATAAATCGCACTTTTTTCATAGTCTGGCCGGTCCTGCGATTTATACTCCGGAGCGACTTATATACCAAATTATGTACCGGCTCCTGACCTGGAATGAGCTACCCTGCCCCGCTGGGAATAAAAAACACAGCCATCACCTGTTGGAGCCTGTGGCGCACCGTTACACACCTGATCCGGCACAGGAGTGAGCTCCCCTGACCCGCAGGGAACTAAAAACACAGCCATCACCTGCTGGAGACTGTGGCGCGCAGCTGTGGGCTGAATCTGACCCAGGTTTCAGCTCACTTGCCCCGCAGGCAATTAAAAACACACACCCATCACCTGCCGGAGCCTGTTGTGCGCCGTTGCGCACTGGATCCGGCCCAGGTTTCAGCTCCTCTGCCCCGCCATCACCTGCTGCAGCCTGTGGTGCGCTTCTGTGAGCCGGCTCCGACACAGGAATGAGCTCCCCTGTCCCGCTGGGAGGGTTTCAAACACAGCCATCCTCTGCTGGAGACCGTGGCGCGCTGCTGCGCCCGCGTTGTTTATTCTGTTATTGCTACCGGTACTTGTCTTGCAATGGGAAACGCTTGGTCTCAGATTTTGTAAGAAAAATAAAAAAAATTCCCCCCAAAATGCGACTTATAGTCCAATGCAACTTATATATGTTTTTTTCTTCTTCATTATACATTTTATGGCTGGTGCGACTTACACTCCGGAGCGATTTATAGTCCGGAAAATACGGTACGTTTTTTAAATAATCTCGTACCAGATGATTCATTTATTTCCTGGATTAAATCAGCCTATTTAGCAGCTATAGCCTGATCTTGGAGCAGAAGCATTGAGACACAAAGACCAGATTTGATGGAAGTAAAGAAAACACAGCCCCAGAAGGTGTGGGCGCCTACTGTTTAAACCTGTTGCGTCATGTCACAGTTCTCATGCTTTGTTGATCATGTATTAGACGTTGAGGGGTTTACCGATCACGCTCTGTCTTTGTGCAACAAGCTGCCACAGCTAAAACATTACAGTACATCTGGAATCTCATACATACACCTCCACTTAGATTGTAATGGAAAAAACATTTTATTCAATCTAATATGCTGCTATGAAGGTATATTTTTGGAAAATGTCATGATTTGATCTATTTAATAGTGTATTATACCTAATTAGTGCTGGTTTTTTCCACTACCTTTAACTCTGATGTCTTGAAGGTGTTTTCTGAGCAAGATCCAAATGTTTCTCATGAGCTTCTCTCTCTTGGGGTGATCCAACAACTTCTTTATGCCATGTACAACAGGGAACACGCTCATGTCCAAATACAAGTCAGCCTGATCTTAGAGGTATGTGCTTCAAATACGGTTTGTATTTTGTATTTCACATAACTTTTATTTTGATTATTTAGTTTATGGGAAACGCCACAGAGACGGGGGAACAGATGGTACCAGCTGTCTTTTATTTTGTGGTAAATTATGTTCCAGTAAGTCTGTTCGGTTTTGTTCTCTTGACAAATTAAAAGACAAAGAGACAAAACCACATAAATGTGCTCCAAAACCAGCTGAAACAATTAAAACAAAGCTGAACATAATTAGTTCTGTGACTTTTTTTTTCGGTTTTCCCTCTGGCTCTCAAATACAAATCCTGAGACCCACAACAGCTGGACACCCTTTATGAACTCCTGATGTGTGCTTTGTTCTTGTGCTTGTAGCATTCTGTCAGCTCATTCCCAGGGACTGAAGAACATGTGCAGAGTCATGGGCAGCCCGATATCTGCAGCCTTTACTGTAAGTGGCTGACTTTCTGAAAGCCACAATGTCATAACGTGTGTGAGAGTTGTCACTAACGTATGAAGCAACCTTGTCTCACCAGAACAAAGATTATTGTTTCTAAATACATTTGGATTAAAGACAAGCAAGAGCTCTGAGGTCTAACCACGTTTCTGTATCTCAAGGTGAGATTTAACCTGATTTTTAGGTTAAAAAAAATCTCTGGTCTTTGTTTTGTTTGCTGCTCAGCTTCATTTGTTTCTTCTACCTTTTTCCAGTTTGGGAGAGTATCAGGTCAGACTTCTGACGAGAAGAGGAAGCTCCTCATTTTTAAGACAAACCAAACAGTGCGTTTTAGCAGTCAGTTGCGAAGACTGGACTGAAAATGAATGATAAAAGCAGAAGAACTTTTAAAGACCTTCAGAAAGTGTGAAGACCTATTGAACAAGACTGTTGTAAACTATCATAACAGGGTCTGACTGATTGGAGGAGAAATTGTTTAAATATTTGACATTTTCTCTGAAATGCAATATTTGCATTGTTCAGTTCCCTTATAAAACCACCAACTTCTGTTGGTACAATAACATGCAGCTTAGTCACAACTCTGAACAACTAAAACAATGTTTGAAGAAGTTTTAGTTTCTCACAGAAGGCAGTAAAGCAGTTGTGTTCAATCCTAGTCCTCCTCAAGGGCCACAGTCTGCCCAAACGGGTCTGATTTATATAAGTAGATGATTAACAGGCTTCTGCAGAGCTGACCTGTTGAACAGGTCATTCAACCACCGAATCAGATGTGTTAGAGCAGGGAAAGAGCTAAAACATGCTGGATAGTGGCCCTCAATGATCAGCATTAAGCCCTGTTTATAAATGGCCTGTGTCTGATATAGCGCCTTCTAGAGTTCTGTAACCCCCCAAGGCGCTTTACAACACAATCAGTCATTCACCCATTCACACACACATTCACACCCTGGTGGGGATGAGCTACAATGTAGCCACAGCTGTCCTGGGGCGCACTGACAGAGGCGAGGCTGCCGAGCACTGGCGCCACCGGTCCCTCCGACCACCACCAGCAGGCAACGTGGGTTAAGTGTCTTGCCCAAGGACACAACGACAGCGACAGACTGAGCGGGGCTCGAACCTACAACCTTCCGATTAGGTTTACTCAGAGCGAGGAACAGGCGAGGATCGGAATGGGAGCAGAATTTATACCGGCTGTGGTGCAGAGCAGATCGGGATGTGGAGCTGAAGACTCTTTCCACGTGGTTTCAATTTTTTTTAACGATATTGTCTGCAGATCGTCATGAAGTTGAAGAAATGACATGAGCCAGACAGGAAGTGGGATAATCTGCAAAATTGTAAATCTTTTATAAATTCATGGCTGCAAAGGGACATCTCAATTATTAGAAGATCCTTTCTCACGAAAATGGAATCAATCTCTAGGTTTATCTATCCAGCTTACTCAATCTCCATCCCTAAAAAGGCAATTAAAGCTATCAACCAAGTTAATTTTAATTTTATCTGGAAAAACAAGGCACACTATATTAAAAAGGCTAATTTGGTTAAAGATGAGGAAGGTGGGATTAAAGCTTTATATTTCGAGTGTGTTAATGGTACAATAAAAAATAACTGGCTAAAACATTTTTGTTAAAAACAACAATTTCTGGTTTCACATACCAAACCAAATCTTTAACAAACTCAGTGGTATTAAATTTCTTTTAAGGTGTGATTATGATCTGAAGAAGCTCCCCATCAAGCTGTCTTTATTTCATCAACAGGTACTTATGTACTGGAAGATGATTTGCAAATATAATTTCAGTCTGCATGATACTCCTCTCTGGAATTGTAGATGCATCACCTCAATAAATAACTCAATATTTTATCCAAACTGATTGGAAAAGGATATCTGGTCTGTTTTACACTTGTTTGATAACTCTGGAAATCTGTTGTCTCATGAACTATTTAGCTCCAAATTCAAGTTGACTGTCAAGGAACAATATCAGAAGGTTATAAAAGCAATTCCAAGTCTTGTCTTGTCAATCTCCTCTAATTTACATCACAATAACATTAGTCCAAAGCTTCCTGAATTTATGCTTAATGAATGTTCTATTACTGAAAAAAAGTTACCCAATATTGTATTAAGACAGTTATTTATTCAAGAGCTGCATCCATTCTTAGCCAACAGATCATTAGCTTCTCATCTACAATCTTGTGAAATTGAAAAAAAAGCAAGTAGGTTTTTTTTTCAAGCTTCCAGTTGCTCCAAAGATGAAAGAAATGCAGTTTAAAATTATGAATTGCGTTTATCCATCTGGAGAGCTTTTGAGACACCGATTTAACTTGGAACATAATGGCTGCTCATTTTGTAATGCAGACATAGAAACCACTGAGCATCTGTTTTTTGACTGTGAATTTGTGAAGACTTTTTGGAGTGAATTAGAGAATTGGTTGGCTTAGAGGCTATGTAATCCACCAAGACTTTCTAAAGAAAACGTGTTAATCGGTTGTTTTACTGCCAAGGACAATATTTATATTGCTTTAAATGTTATAATTATCCATGGAAAATTTTACATACGCAAATCCGTTATGCAAAAACTTGCCTTAATTTCATTGGATTTCATAAATAATTAGTATATTACTTCTCTTCTTTGGAATTCATGAAAGGCTCCAAAGCCTACGCTATGAAGAAATACAAACTAAATGCTAACCCCTAGCAAATTTATTGAATGATGTTTTGCACTTTATTAGTTGTTTTACTTTCATTTAGACTATTTCACTTAATTTGCATTTTATTTATATCATGTTTGTTTATTATTTATTTTCTTTTTACTCAATTTATTTCTCTCGTCTGCTTGTATTTCCAGTTAAGAATGGAATATTGTAATGTGCCATGTTTTGTTGATTTCAATAAACCGATTTAGATCCCTTCTAACCAATCAGAGGCGAGAAAGGCGGGATCATCCTTGGACATCTACGATTCCAAATGACGCCCACAGCGCGTCTACGTCCGTGCGTTCATAGATATGTATATATATAAATATATAAAGATATGTATATATACATGTGCGTGCGTAGACCTGCCGACCGGTTATGGCGTCACACACTTCCGTGTTTACTTACAGCTGATTGGCTAAACGCTGCTTTTTTCCTTAACGTAGTGGCGGGAGGCCGGGAGCCAAAACTCCGCTCTGGTTTTGAAGAGTAGCGATGGCCATTACTGAGGGGAGATTGATAATGAATGGGTTACGTTCAGCGGTATCCAAGGGCAAGAGAGGCCGGATGGGGACGGTAGAAACATCAGCCTCTACTCGAAAGAGGTCCAAACAAGCAGTTAAAGAAGGTACGTTCTAATTTCCATCCTGGTAGGCCACTATCCAGCGTGTTTTAGTGGGATCCGTGCTCTAACACACCTGAATTGAGGAGTGAATGTCGTGTTCTGATGTACACGTCTGATCATCTGCTGTGTGAAATCAGGAGTGTTGAGGCAGAGAAACCTCTAGTGTGCTACACAAACATTCACATAAAGGCTCAGTCATAAACTCCATCCACTCAGCTGTGTTGAGGCAGAGAAACCTCTAGAGATTTGACTTATGTAATAAGTTCAGCTTGACCCATGGGTTACATCTGACCCAGAAGTTTCAGCGACACGATTCGAAAACACTTTTTAGAATTGGTAAATGTGTTTTGAATTTAAAATGCGTTTCTTCCAGAGGACACCACGCCCCCAGTGCCACAGTCTTCCTTCCACACCTTCTCTGATCCTGCTGATGTTGTGCAGCTGCGCTCCCAGCTCTTGAGCTGGTATGACAAAGAGAAGAGAGAGCTGCCGTGGAGGACTCTGGTACATCCAGGAAATCTTGATTTTTAATACGCATTTGTTTATTAGAGAGAATAGACATTTTCTTGCCATTTCAGGATATGGTAAATGTTATACTAAAGCTGTAAAGGCAAATTTGAAAAACACATTATCTTAAAATATTTTTTCATGCCTCTTGACAACATTCTAAAATAGTATAGCTAGTAATATATTGTGGAGAATAAAATAATAATAATAATAAAGAAAGTGGTTCTCTCCCATTTGTCTGCCAATAACACGTTTTGGACCGAAACAAATTATTTGACCATCCGATTGTCGGTCTTGCTGAACCGCTGCACTTCCCTGCGTCCTCAATCCGTTACTGGTGTGAGAAGTTCTCCGCTCAATAACACCAGAGAAGGATAAACAGCTGGCTCTACCAGTTCAACTTTAGGACAAACTACCAGAGTCCCAAAAAGAAAAACACCATTTAAAGTCACTGACAATAAAAGACGTTTGGGCCTAGAAAACAGCGACTGGTGTTTAGCGCTATCTCGTTTCCTCTGGCGACACATCTCAGGGAGATACCCGAGGGGAGTGGTGAATGTTCCGTGACTGTGTTTGCGTTGTTATTAGGGATGTGAATCTCACGATTTGATTCGATTCGGATTTTTGGGGTGCCGATTCGATTCAGAATCGATTCTCGATTCTCAATTCTCTATTTAAATCGATTCACAATCAGTATTAACGAGTGTCAGCTCCAGGACTAACTACTTTGTTGTACAAGTTAGTTAAAGCTATAGGACGTTTTTATTTGACTTTAAACTGGTCATGCTCCAAAAATGCTAATTTACAATGTAAAATAAAGTGATTCTAAAATTGTAAACAGAAGCGATCTTTTGACCAAAAGGCAACATTTATTTTTGCTTACCTTGTAAAATATAACTAATCTGTAGTTACCTAACAGTAGCATTGAAAGTAATACAGTCAAATACTTTTCAAGTATGTATAGAAACAAGTTACATGAGTAATCCTGAGTACTCATCTATCAACTTAGAAAATAAATATGAGAATATCTCAAATTTCTGAGTATGGAAAAAATAACATTCAAGTGCCCTCTTATCAGCAGATTCAAACATAAATCATCTCAATTTATGGGAGCCCAAAAGTAAACGGAGTACTGACTCCCCTAACAAAGATCAAAAAAGTGCATCTCAAACCTGTAACATGCCAAATATTTCAGTTCTTGGAATCGATTCTGAACCTTTGTGAATCGATTCTGAATCTTTATAAATAAGAATCCCGATTCAGACTCGAATGGATTTTTTTCAGCACCTCTACTTGTTATGTAGATTCGCAATAACAGCTTTAAGTGAGTTTTAAAGAGATGGATTCATTTCAGGGTTCTTGTTTCACAGCAACATTTCAACACGAAGTCACAGTAAAAGCTGCTCGCTAGTCAAAATATTCATCCTGTTATAGACACTTACTTTAGAGCATCTATAGGATTATAATCAAATCCATCTGCATCATCCAGTATTCAAAATAAGCTTACAGTGTTCCTTTTGCATATTAGACCATCTCCTGGTTATTTATAGAAGTGACTGTACAGTATAGTTTCATCTGAAAGTAAAACCCAGCCTCTGTTTTTGGCAGGCTTTGGCAGAGTCGGACATAAACATCAGAACATATGCAGGTAAAAACACAGTCTACAAAAAAGAAATGAATGCCTGAAATGCTCTACGTTTCCCTAATTCTTCACACAGTGAAATTTTTATGTTTGTTTTAGTTTGGGTTTCAGAAATAATGCTGCAACAGACTCAAGTTGCCACAGTAAAAGAGTACTACAAAAGATGGCTGAAGGTAAATATTTGCCATGTTTTCAGTACTTGATCTATGTGGTGGGTTATGAGATGTTTTCTGGAGTAAGTTTTTGCCACATTGCTTGAAATACTCTTCACATACTGGTGCTAACTGATAAATTCAATGTTTTGTCAACAAAAGGAACCTCATACAATTGTTGTGCACGTCCCATTACTAATGACTGGATCATGATCTGTCCATCAAACTGTCCTTTCACAGTCCCTCCCCCTGCTGCACAAACCCCTCTATGTGCACAAAAGTCCTGTTTGCAGCTTGGAGCAACTGAACAGGAAGTGAATCCAGTCCTGTGCTGCCTCGGACCAGAATGTTCTGTTTGCGATTGCAAATTTCATTTAAAGAGCAAGTCACCCCTTACCAGAGTCTAACTCCATTCTCTCTTCATGTTTAAAAAATGCAACAAATGCAGACCGAGAGGGCGGAGCCGCTAACAAATACACACACACACAGGCTCACCACAGCATTGTGACATCATAATGTACCAGTTTACATCATAGTATATCTCTTAGCCAATAGCGGTGGCAGATTTAAATTCAAATACAGTGCAGAGTTTTTACCTGACAACGGCACAACACTGACACTTATAGGCAGAAAATTAAAATTTTAACTAAAATGCACTAAAGTGCAAAACTATGGACTACACGTGTCTGCAGCATGATTAGACACTCGTTTATTTAGTTTATCAGGGGAAAAAAGTTGATTTGGGGGTGACTTGCTCTTTAAGTTGTTTTACGTCTCATTGTTATGTTCTTCCTGTGTTTCTTTCTGCGGCTCTGAAGATGGCGACTGTGGTTTAAGCAAGAAAAAAAACAATTGAGGTTATTTTACATGTTCTGTTTAGAGTCTGGTTCTGCTCTAGTTGGAAAATGTTTAGGTGACGGAGGCCCTGTCCACACGTAGCTGGGGATCTGCTAAAACATAGATATTTTTCTACGTTTTGGCCTGTCATCCACACGAAAACGGAGTATTTTCACACGAAAACGGATCTTTTTAAAAACTCCAGCCAAAGTGAAGATCTGTGTTTTCTCCGTTTTGGGTGTCTGCGTGTGGACAGACAAAACCGGAGTTTTAAGGTCCGCAACGTCACTTTCCGCGACAAAAAAATGCTGACATCACGTGTGCGACCTGTGTTTACACTAGCCGACAGCATGGATGCCCTCAGAGCTGCGCTCGCTTTATCAATTGTCCAAGCGCTTTTTGCTTGTTTGTTTTTGCAAGAGGAATTACTTCTCCTTGCGGAAGACCACAGACGAAGGACGAGGTTAAGAACGGGGGAAGTACTGCCGTACGTGCCGGGTACGTGTGGACATTTTTTTTTAAACGAGGTGGTGTGGATGCAAGTTTTTGGAGGGGCGGATATTTGTTTTAAAAAAAAACCGGCTACGTGTGGACTAGGCCGGGGTTATTGTCTGGAAATGCAGTCTGTTCTCTGTTGGGTGGCAGAGCCGTCTGTCTAGCGCGTGCGTGCCACTACTCGTGCTGGCCGAGAGGAGGTAGTTGAGTCTGAGGAGGTTCAAGTCGGCTTCTGGAAGTTTTGACCTGGTTTTCCAGATTATTGGTGGCACTGAGCTGCAGTGATTTAGAAGTTAAGAATAAATCAACAAAGCTAAAACTGCCTTGCCAAGAGAACTCCACACTATATTAGCTAGCATACATACTGAACTGTTATACAGTTACATAGATGCCTTACTTTGGGAATTATGGCAGAAAATGCCAACAACTGCTCAAAAACATAAGCTAACATAAAGTTTTATGGCATGCGTTGTGTCTGGTCATACCATTTTCTGAGACCATCAGGTTCTGTGGCACTTAGGGAGGAACCTGAGGAAAGGGGGTTGGATCTTTCAATTATTATTTATTTTTTCAACATTTAGCTTTTTTTGTACAGCTTTTTCCAAGAACTTCTACTCCACCTTTAATCAAGGAAGTATTCAACACTAGGTTTACAGAAATGTGTTTATTTTTGCTTTAGAAGTGGCCCACAGTTCAGGATCTTGCTGCAGCAACAATTGAGGTAATATTTCATAAGTTACTACAAATGTTATTTATAGCATACGTTGTTTTTATACTTGATACATTATATGTTTCATTGATGCAGGAGGTAAACCAGATGTGGTCTGGACTTGGCTACTACTCCCGTGGAAGAAGGCTTCATGAAGGAGCTCAGAAGGTCATTGCTGTTTCCTGACCCATCAGACATTTGCCCGGCTTATAACTGGACTTCTGAAAAGTGATCACAGCAGTTATTTTAATCAGTTCACACATTTTTGTAACTCCCGAGTTTAATATTATAAGTTGAAGGGATGTTACTTGACTTGATTTGTTTCTGAGAGGGTCTTTGTGTGACTTTCCTTTTTTTCAGGTGGTGTTGGAGTTAAAGGGAAGGATGCCTCGAACGGTCGATGACCTGCTGAAACAGTTGCCTGGTGTCGGACGGTACACCGCTGCAGCTGTTGGCTCTATCGCACTGGGACAGGTGAGCTAAGAGAAGCAAATATCAGTAAAAGCTGCTTCATGTGTTCACGACCAGCGTAAACTCCAAAAGTCTTATACTCTGGTTCAGAAATATTTAGATATTTTAGCTTATTTTCCACAGAATGTTGCAGTTTCATGATGAATATTAGCTTAATTAGCTTTTAAATTGTTGGAGGCAGCTACAAGCTTTAAGTCATCACTAGGAGCGTTGTTTAATCTTTACTAAAAACCCCTTTTTAAAATAAAATGTTCTCACAACTGATATAATCTCTGTTGCCAAGGTTACTGGAGCTGTAGATGGAAACGTGATCCGGGTGCTGTGTCGCGTGAGGGCCATAGGAGCAGACAGTACACGTCCCACAGTAACAGAAGCTCTTTGGTCAGCTAAAGCTCTCCGTTAACATACTGTAAACAAAACAGCTTTAATGTCCATGAGGGCGTCATGATTCCAGCTTGGCTTTGTCCCGATTTCTTCAGGAATCTTTCCAATTTGCTTGTGGACCCAGAGAGACCTGGAGACTTCAACCAGGCCTTGATGGAGCTAGGAGCACAGGTCTGCACGCCCAAAGGACCACTGTGCATCAAGTGTCCTGTCCAATCACACTGCCGCTCTTATCACAAGGTAGGCGGGTAGACTGAGGCTAGAAGAAGCCATTACTTTAGAAAGATTAAAATGTCTATGTTTGGGTTGATGCTTCTACATTTTTTTGTTTGAGCAGGTTCACGTCAAACAGGAACAGAACACTGCGAAGCTTTTGGACCGGAAGGGTTCAAACCTGCCCGATATAGAAGACTGTAGTATGCTTCATCATCTTGATTTTCTCATAAAACAAGTAAACCTATATTATTAAGTACATATTGCTAATTTCTCCTCTTCTTCAGTAAACAGCGGAGCTTGTCCGTTGTGTCCCTCTGAGCCCTGGAACAATGACCTTGGTGTCCAAAATTTCCCTAGAAAGCCAGCGAAGAAGGCTCCTCGAGTGGAGCGAACTCTGACCTGTGTGGTGACCAGGACTAGGGAGGAGGCGAACGAGGAGTTTCTGCTCCTACAGAGACCGAACAAAGGTCAGTGATCGGGTCTTTGCGGCTACAGCTTCATCTGTTTGTAAGAACAGCTGGCCTAATTTAGGTTTAGCCAGAAACTCGATTTAAACTTTCTAATAAGTGGTAGGATGCTTCCTGAATGAGTCTTATTTGCTAAACATCTTTTTTAAAACACCACATTTGTATCCTTATATTTTACTCTGCTCAAATTTAGATAGAAAGGTGATTTTTTAAAAAAAATAATAACAATTTAAAATAAGTTGTACATCTACAGCTTTGTTTCCCCTCGATGTTCAATCTCATGTGCTTTCAGGTTTGCTGGCAGGCTTATGGGAGTTCCCGAGTCTTCTGCTGCAGGAGGAAAACTCTGTGGAGGAACAGAAGAAGCTTCTGTGCAACGAAATCAGCACAACACTGAGAACCTGTTTGAGTGAAACGCTCATTCGTTATGTGGGAGAAGTAAGCTCACTGATCTGTTTGATTCACTTAAACTTGCCGTTTGTGTAGCTGTAGCGATCGTCTGTTTGCAGGTCGTGCACATCTTCTCCCACATTCACCAGACCTATGTGGTGTACAGCTTGTGTCTGAAAGAGCAGGACACACAAACACACACAGGAAAAACACAGTGGCTCGACAGATCTGCCCTACAGGAAGCTGCTGTGTCCACAGGGCTGAAAAAGGTTTGTTTTATTCGCTGTTTGAATGTTTGTGAGTTTTTGATTATGTTTTCAAGACCAAGTTTTATGTTTACTATCCTGCAGATTTTGAAACTTTTTGATTCTGCGGATGGTTTAGAGGACAAGAACTCAAAGGTAAGTTTCTATTTAGTATTCCAGTTAGACTAGGTCAGTGGTTCCTAACCTGGGGGTCCTGACCCCCACAAGGGGGAGCCAAAACCTCTCAGTGGGTCGCCAGGACCTCTCCACTTTAAGGAGTTAAAACTTCATGTATTACTTGTTTATAGCCTACATTTTGCTCACTTTTTTTTAATGAGTGAAAAGATTACTGATATTAAGACAGGAAATAATTAGTACAGAAAGAGTAACACACTTTTAAGAACGTTTTGCTCATCTCGCTTTTATTTTCAAGTGTCAAAAGTTCATTAAAGATAGGACTGGTTGATTAATCACAGCCTTTACAGTAAATAATCTAGTATAAACAGTAATATACACGTTTAAGTACATTTTGCTCAGTGTATTTTTTATGTGTCAAACGTTTATTGAAAGGATTGATTGATTTATCAGTGTTTACAAGAAACAATGTGTTCAGAGAAGTAATACAAACTGTCAAGCACATTATGCTCTGTTTGGTTTTGTTAATGACTTTGTTCTGTACTGGAGCCTACTATTACTGTTATCTATTAAATCAAAGCATATTAAAATGTGCTTGAACAATTTTATCATTTCTTAATACTGTTTGTACTGGAAGAGAGAATGGGAGGGGGTCGTCAAAAATTTTACTGGTAAAAAACGGGGTCCCTTGGGAAAAAGGTTGGGAACCACTGGCCTAGGCGATATGAACCAAAACTTGTCATCCAACAGGGGTCGGCAACCGGCGGCTCCGGAGCCGCGTGCAGCTCTTTCATCCGTCTGATGCGGCTCTCTTCTTGTAAAATAATGAATGAATATTTAATTAAAATATATTTTATTTTACTGCAATCATTTTTTATCTGTATGCCAATTCTAAATTTAAAGATTGTCTGCGTTAACCTGAACAGGTCCAACGGCTGACATGTCACCTGCAGATGTCTCTATAGGGGCTTTTCTGAGTTGAAAAGGATATAAGATTCTGGACTTTTGCCTCAGACAGGCTCATAAATGCATCGCTGTGTTGCCACATTGGAGACGGGAACAAGCGCTATTCAGCCAAAGTTTCATAATTAGGGAACATTTTCTAAGTGACAAGTCTCTCTGAGAGACAGGGTTTGGGAAACACTCGCTTCAGTGAGAGGAATCTTCCTGCATGCGCTCTGGTTCTGCGACGTGCTCCAAGCCCCCGATCTACACATCAGCTGAATCAATCTTCAGCTCGCTGTCCACCTTACGTGTGAGCTGCGCTGAGCTCAGTGTCCAGCTCAGATGTTCTGATGGGAATCTTTTCTTGATTGATGTGCCTCTGATGTGCGTGATGACAAAAATGCCAGCGGATTTGCAGGCTTGAGCTTTCTCTGTCAAAATAAACGATCAAATACGGGAAACGTCCGGTCAGTGTGAACCCTTTCATTTAACTGTTTTGCCTTCTTGTGAAGATTGTTGCAAACAGGAACATTAATCTTGTTTAACACCAGAGCCATGTGCACTGCACCCTTATGTCCATCACTATATCCGTCACTATAAATGAGGGAAAAAAACGAATAGATCGGATCCTTTTCTTACCTTTTCAACATTGTTTCATGTAAAGTTTTGTTTAGTACAAAGTTTAATTACAACAATCCAACGAGACAGAGCCTGGATATGTATTCTGAACATTTTAATCATGTTTTAAAAGGAGACATGTGTGACACGGTAAAAAGCGGCACCTGCTCAACTAACGGTGAAAAATATCGAAGTATTGTAGCACAGACGGGCTCCAAATTCTGGATCAATTTTATTAAACTTGTTTTAATTATCTTCAGTTGAAAGATAACTCTGAGGTACATGAGCGAACGGTATTGGTTGCTGTTACCTGTTGTGATCAGTTAAAGCAGCTCTTGGCTGTCTTAGGGTGGGTTCCACCCACAACGTCGCGGCTGCTGTGGCTCCCAGTGTTTTCTTTAATGTGGGAAACGGGTAATAATGGCTCTTTGATGGGAAAAGGTTGCCGACCCCTGCCCTACACCAATGCAATAAGAACAATATGATTAACAAGAAAAAGCTGCAACAAGTCAGTGATATACAACACAATGGTGTGAAAAACTATTTGCCCCTTCCTGATTTCTTATTCTTTTGCATGGTTGTCACACAAAATGTTTCTGATCATCAAACACATTTAACCGTTAGTCAAAGATAACACAAGTAAACACAAAATGCAGTTTTTAAATGATGGATTTTATTATTTAGGAAGAGAACAAAATCCAAACCTACATTGCCCTGTGTGAAAAAGTAATTGCCCCCTGAACCTAATAAATGATAAATGACCTGCACTTGTATAGCGCCTCTCAGAGTAAGCACTCCAAAGCGCTTTACACTACAGTGTATCATTCATCCATTCACACCAGATTCACACACACATTCATACACTGGTGGAGATGAGAGGTGAGGCTGCCGAGCACAGGTGCCACCGAACCCTCCGACCACCACCAGCAGGCAAGGTGGGTTAAGTGTCTTGCCCAAGGACACAACATCAGAATTCTCTGTCCGGAGCCGGGATCGAACCCCTTCCGATTACTGGACAACCCGCTCAACCTGTTGAGCTACTGCTGCCCAATAATAACTGGTTGGGCCTCTCTTAGCAGCAATAACTGCAATCAAGCGTTTGCGATAACTTGCTACGAGTCTTTTACAGCGCTCTGAAGGAATTTTGGCCCACTCATCTTTGCAGAATTGTTGTAATTCAGCTTTATTTGAGGGTTTTCTAGCATGAACCGCCTTTTAAGGTCATGTCATAGCATCTCAATAGGATTCAGGTCAGGACATTGACTAGGCCACTCCAAAGTCTTCATTTTGTTGTTCTTCAGCCATTCAGAGGTGGATTTGCTGGTGCGTTTTGGGCCATTGTCCTGCTGCAGCACCCAAGATCGCTTCAGCTTTAGTTGACGAACAGATGGCCGGATATTCTCCTTCAGGATGTTTTGGTAGACAGTAGAATTCAGCAAGCCTTCCAGTTCCCGAAGCAGCAAAACAACCCCAGACCATCACACTACCACCACCATATTTTACTGCTGGTATGATGTTCTTTGTCTGAAATGCTGTGTTACTTCTACGCCAGATGTAACGGGACATTTCCAAAAAGTTCAACTTTTGTCTCATCAGTCCACAAGGTATTTTCCCAAAAGTCTTGGCAATCATTGAGATGTTTCTTAGCAAAACTGAGACGAGTCCTAATGTTCCTTTTGCTTAACAGTGGTTTGCATCTTGGAAATCTGCCATGCAGGCCGTTTTTGCCCAGTCTCTTTCTTATGGTGGAGTCGTGAACACTGACCTTAATTGAGGCAAGTGAGGCCTGCAGTTCTTTAGAAGTTGTCCTGGGGTCTTTTGTGACCTCTCGGATGAGTTGTCTCTGCGCTTTTGGGGTAATTTTGGTCGGCCGCCCACTCCTGGGAAAGTTCACCACTGTTCCATGTTGTTGCTATTTGTGGATAATGGCTCTCACTGTGGTTCGCTGGAGTCCCAAAGCTTTAGAAATGGCTTTATAACCGTTACCAGACTGATAGATCTCAATTACTTTTATTCTCATTTGTTCTTGAATTTCTTTGGATCTTGGCGTGATGTCTTAGCCTAGTGAACTAGATCAAATTCTTGCTTTGCAAAGTTTGGTCTAGGAATGCTCCACTGCTCCACTCGGCAGCCCCAGCAGCATTCTGGCTGGCCAATCACAGCTCTCTAGAGGGGTTTCAAACACATAAAGAGCTGTGATTGGTCCATAATGGTGGGTCAATCATAGTGCTCTATCTGCTTAGTGAACAAATCACAGAGCTTTATCCGCTTTGTGGGCCAATCAGGGCGCTCTATGTGCCTGGTGGGTGGGATGATGCAACAGAGTGAAACAAGAGTATGTCACATTCATTGTCCAGTGGAATGCGGAGATCATTTGAAAGACAACGGTAGAACCCGCCCCACAACCGAGAGCCGTCAATGGAGCGTGGCCAGACTAAATAATCCATTTATTTAGTCTGGCTTGCCAGGCTAATGATGTCTAGCTTTTGAGGTGCTTTTGGTCTACTTCTCTGTGTCAGGCAGCTCATATTTAGGTGATTTCTTGATTGAAACAGGTGTGGCAGTAATCAGTCTTGGGGGTGGCTACAGAAATTGAACTCAGGTGTGAAACGCCACAGTTGGGTTATTTTTAACAAGGGGGCAATTACTTTTTCACACAGGGCAATGTAGGTTTGGATTTTGTTCTCTCCCTAAATAATAAAAACCATCATTTCAAAACTGCATTTTGTGTTTACTTGTGTTATCTTTGACTAACGGTTAAATGTCTTTGATGATCAGAAACATTTTGTGTGGCAAACATGCAAAAGAATAAGAAATCAGGAAGGGGGCAAATAGTTTTTCACACCCCTGTAAGTCATTGATATACAACAAGTCTGTGTTATACAAACAAACATAAAGACCCGCACGTTCCTCTCTCTGGACTATGGATTTGATTTTATGGACTCTACAATCTGTAATAATAAAACACAACCATTGCATACTATAAAACTAGTTGCCTCAGTGAAGTTAGTTTTTAAAATAAAAGTGTGAAATATTCTCCTGTTCTCAACTACACTTTCACTTGTGTCATTTGCCTCAGAGTGGGAAAAGGCTAAGTCATACTGGAGGCCGAAAGACTGACAAACCACGAAGGGCAAAAAAACCCATAGGGGCGGCAGCTAATGGAGGAGGCAAACAGCTCTCGCTCAGCTCCTTCTTCAACACTGTAAAAGCAGAATGAAGTTAGCGTTTGTAAATCCTGCATAGTGCCTTTTTAGGGCTATGTCGCGTAATATTAAAATGATACTTTTGTTCTTTTAACTGTGTGGCATGTTAAAGTACCATAATCTAAAGCTTTAACTTGTATTACCTCAGATATTGGTATTTTTTAAATGATCTAATGAAGCAGAATTTTTAAGTAAACTTGCATTATGGACTTTTGTTACGATCTCATACTGCTAGGGAAAGTTGTTTTATGTCCCTTGAGCTTTCTATATTTGTTTATGGAAATAATAAAATAGGAAAGAAAATGTCTCTGGTGCTTATTTCTGTATTTTTTACAGGTATGCAAACATTTATGCAATCTTAAAGGTGCAATAAGTAAGAATTTTAAAGTTAAGTAAAGCAATAGTATCAGTCATGTTAGAAGGGAAATTACATTGAGACAGATTCCCTTTTCCGCTGTCTAAGGTGTTACCAGGTTTTTACCCTCTGTGTGTCTTGCTCCTGACCCTGCTTTGTTTTTCTCTATGGCCCATGATGCTTTGCTTGGATACCCAGCAAAGCATCACCCTAACCTGGGAATTTAGGCTTACGTTTTGAAATGGAGGAATTAACATGGGTTGAGGCAGGATTTTATCACATCCGGTCATCTTTTTTCCAGGTTGATATAATGTCGTAAGAAGATAACTTAGCGTTATTTCTGAACAATGGTGTCTATTGTGCTAACTGCAATATTTTAATCATATATACGTATAGGCCGATTTTTGCTCTGAAAGGCTTGCATGACACATTATATCTGCAATCTGGAATTTTCCTCTTTTCAGGAATGATTCCTGATTTCATAGAAAGCCTTTACTCTCGATACTGTGATATAATAGACCCTTTTACTACCTACGTCATCAAAAGTTGCGCTCGCAGCCTGGCAACGAGAGTGAAGGCTTCATCATTCACACTCGATACTAAAACAGCGTTTTAAACCCTTTGTTTTGAAGTTCTGAGCACATAAAAATGTCGGGTTGTTGCGTGTATGGATGCCAGTGTAACGTGAGGAAATATGGGTTTTCTATCACAAAGGTGGTGCTGGACGCAGCTAGGTCAAAGCTGGGTCATTGAGAACTTTCACCCACAGATTAAGTCCTGAACGCCAGCGAGTCTGGGAGGAAACCATAACATCTGCCACCTGCAGTCTACCAGAAGATGTGTTTACATGAGTTGTACCCAGACCAAGTCAAAACATAAAGTTTAAACTTCTTTTTCTTGATTTTAATGTTAAAATAACCATTATCATTTTGCTCATTATAAATGTGTTTAATCAAATGAATGGTTCTTATGCTTTGGGGTAATTATAATGGCTTAATGAATCCATAATTAGATAGTGTTGAGAATGTTTGGTACTGACCTTCACACTCAAGCACACAAACATTCACACACACCCACACACACCTTCCCACAGTAAACTCCAGACACATTTGATGACGCACAGGTTTTGCTTTGAGAAGAGAAAGGTTTTTGGTAAGTTTTCAGTCTTATAGCAGTTCGTGTGGGACAACGAAAGAGTGTGGACCTGAAAACCGAAAGGGGGGCAGAGCCGGCTGGCTCGTTTCTCCCCCCCCCCCCTTTCACGCTGTTTCTGCCACGCCAGGCAGAATAGCTGAATCGCAACTTCTAACGCAGACTCATTACCGAGTCTTTTGATTTCTGAGTGAATTAATTTAAGAAAGCGCGTCGACAAAACGCTTTACCATCAACGTGTACCGAGGACAACTCTGGACCGGTTCGCAGCGCATCTTTGTCTTCTTTGCCAGCCAAGGTGCCCTGGATGAAACATCCTAAGGTGACGTCCCGGGTCCAACAGAGGGTCCGATTTTCGGTGAGGCAAAACACGACAGATAGCGTTTTGATGCATCTTTTCCACTAAACCTAAGTTTATTCAAACCATCACTTTTCACTCAGACACCTGTTTCTTCCTGAAGCAAAATCAGACGCACACACGCATTCATCTCATCTCATATCACCAGCACAACTCACAACATTCTCAATCTTCATAAATTCATCAGGTCTATTTGAGCCAGAACAGCATATCAACTGTTAAAAAGATTGTCCCACAAAGTTACCAATGTTGATTGTATTTCCTGTTTGTCAATTTCAAAATCATTAGTTTAATTTGATGAATTAAAACTTTTAATTGTGAAACTGGTTTCCTCATTGAACTGAAACACAGACACTCAGATATTATCGTCAGTTTATCGATGAAAACAACCTTTGAGTCTTCTGAACAATATAAAATTTGGTTATTGATTTATTAAAATTAATATTCCGAATTAATACGTAGCATGGTTTCTCTTTCATAAAAGAGCATAAAACCACAACGCTACACCAGAATTGCTTCTCTTCAAGCAGTGGACTGAAACTTTACAGAATTCCGAAGGGAGCACATCCATTTCAACAAAATCGAGAGATGAGATGAGATGTAACTGCAGCCTTTTCTGTTTTTCCCATCCTAACACAAAGCTCAACTTTGAATAAAATTGCTGCTGCGTGGCTGCAGCATGACCCAAGTCTGGAACATCAAAATGACAGAATTAAACAAATTTATACGCTTTATTTCATGCTTCAAATTAACATTTCATTCTAATTCATCTGTATTTTCCCACAGCATATTAGTATAAACTATATTTCTCTAAAATTAACACGATTGTACTCTGAGCACGCTAAAAAAAAAAGAAACCTATGCTATACTCACCCTGCCACGCAGGTACAGTTGGCTGTGAAGACGTAGTTCTCTGGTTTGTTTACTATGACCCAAGCCTCGTACCTAGAAGTCTTGTGTCCTTGTCTTTGGCTAGGAAGGACTTCTGCCTTCAAGACGCAAAACAGAGTCTATGTCATGATATTTTACTTTCTGTACGTGGCCACAGACAACATAGTTGTATGCATCTAACGATTTGTATGCCCGTAGCTTCTCACGTGTGTACTTACTGGGCCTCTCCACTAAAAACGTATATATATCGGGCCACTGGACATCTGGCCACGCACCTACATCTTCCACCCATTCCGTAATGCCACAGGGATCCGGGAGTCTGTTGCCATTCGTTAAAGTGAGTTTAATAATATAACATTCAAGATTTGCCGGTGATAACCCTGCAGCGTAGCTTGATGAAGCCTGACACAACGCCATTCTCTGTTGCCAAGCTGCAAGCACATTCTCGCTGACGTCATATTGTTTACAAACAGTAAAAGGGTCTATAGACAGTGCATAGTTGTTTATTTTTTTGGTAAGCCCTCCCTGTTCCGTAGAGCCCTGTGCAATTTGACTTGAATGCCACTCAGCATTAGCAAATAATGTTAGACATCTGTTAACATACATATGTCAATTACCAAGCATGCACCTGCGTTTGCAGAACTAGACCAGGGGAGAGCAACTCTGGACCTCGAGGGCCGCTATCCAGCATGTTTTGTTTTGGGTTTTTTCCTGCCATAACACACCTGATTTTAAAATGCAGCTGATTAGCAGGCTTCTGCAGAGCTTTGCTAGCTGCTGAGCCGGTGAATCAAGTTTGCTGAAACAGAGAAACAATTAAAACATGCTGGATAATGGCCCTCAAGGACCGGAGTTGCCCACCCCTGACCTATAGACTGATGCAGTTGGCAACTTTTCTCATGGATAAGCAAATCTTTAACATTGACATATAAACATTGGGAGAAGTGTAATTGTAAAGCAATGTCTTTTATCTCTGCTAGCTGGTGCACATTCACAAAAAAGCCTTTTCTGCTGTAAATACAGAAGTAGGCTTAAGGTGTAATACATGTTTCTGCCTCTTGATGGTGGCGTCTGTAAAACCTTGATTTCTACTTTTAGAAGCCACAGCATTTTTTTTTACTCTAAAGCCACTGGCTGCTGAAAAAACCGGCAGTCCCATCCATAGTTTGTGAAGAACCAAAAGGAAGTGCATCATTACTATCTGTAAGTGGTCTTTTATTTAATCTAAAGTCTTGAGTGTTACTGGGCTATTATAATGATGGCGCCAAGGTGCTCGGCCTGCCGTCTGCTCTCTACTTCTCCTGTTTTTCCTGTTTTTTTTAGTATTCTAGTGAATGGTGTCAACTCCATCCTGTATGACAGACTCACCCTTTTAAAGCTTCGTTTACCTGTGGATCATGCAGTAACCAATGCCACTGAACATCAGAAACTGTTTCATCCACTGCTATCAGGTATTCCTGCTTACCTGTGGAGGCTGCCACGCCCATCCTGGCTTCGGAAAAGACGCCGCGGTAAGCGCGGGGGTCGCTGTGTCCGGGCGCGAGCTGCCATGGCGATTTTCCGGGGGTCTATCCAGACCTTGCCGGCTGCCCTGCTCCATTCTCCCCTCGCTGATTCTCCGTCTGTGCCTTGGTTCGTCTGTACAGAGGAGTATGGAAAGCCAAAAGCTATAGATGAGGCAGCTCCAGCGCGTCGCCCCTTTTACCCGCGTCTATGGAGACGCGGAGTCGACCACGCAAACCTGCGCGCTTTCGCTGGACACCTGTTCGCCTCCACTTTGGATCTGCAGCTCTCTCCTGCTCCGACTCGCGTTAAGCTTGCTCTGCTTAACGCCCGCTCCGTTGGAAATAAAACCGCTATCCTGAAGGATTATTTCTCTGATAAAGACCTGGACATTTTTTATATTACGGAGTCCTGGATCCCCCGGTGAGTCCGCTCTACTAACTGAACTTCTTCCTCCTGGGTGCTTGGTGCTGAACTCTCCCAGGCTTTCGGGCCGCGCGGGCGGATTCATCAATAGTTTTGAACTGATTACTTTCGAACTGGGTAATACCCATCCAGTCTGTGCTTGTTTATCGCCCCCCTTAATTCAATAAGGACTTCATTGAAGAATGGTCAGAACTTTTGGCAGAAATAATAACAAAATACGAACGAGTCCTGATTATGGGTGATTTTAATGTTCATGTTTGCTGTCCTGCCAAGCCCCTTGTGAAAGATGTTACTGATACACTTGATTCTTTTGGTCTTAAGCAGGTTGTGTCGGTTCCTACCCATAACCAGTCTCATATTTTAGATTTAGTGATGTTTTATGGGATAAATGTTAATAATTTGTCTTTTGACGAAACTGTCATTTCTGATCATTTTCCAGTTTTGTTTGATTTTGATTGTCCCGTGAGCTTAAGGCCTGTGGAGCTGCGCCAGACACGGTTTATTACCCCGGCTGCAGCTGATAGATGTTGTGCTTCTTTCACTGAACTGCCGGCCTCCACCCTATTTTACACCAATCCAGATGATGCTTAGCGTGTTTTTCACTCAGCCTGTCTCATGGTGATGGATACCTTTAAAGGTTTAAAGGTTAGACGCCCTAAGCCAAAATCTGACCCTTGGTTAAACTCTCACACGAACTCAGAAGATTATGCAGAAGGTGTGAACGCAGATGGAAGAAGGATAAACTATCCATTTCCCTTGAGCTTTTTAGAAATGCACTAGATGAATATCAGAAAGCAATCAGGAATTCTAGAAATAAATACTTCGCCAGCATTATTACTACCCATTCTGGGAACCAGAGGGTTTTATATAAAACGCTAAATGCAGTTTTGTCCACTGATTACTCTCCTACGGTTGCAATCACAGATGATCTCTGCCCCCAATTTTTAATTTTTTTCCTAGACAAAGTCTCCAATGTTAGGAGTCTAATCATTTCCCCCGGAGATGTTCTGCTACCGGTATCTGTTTGTACCGGATGCTTTGACCATTTTGAGCCGATCACACTGCCTGCCTTGGAGAGATTAATATTTTCCATGAAGCCATCAGGATGTCCTGATGACATTGTACCAGCCAGACTCTTTCAGGAGGTTCTTCCAGTGGGAGCCCCTCATGTGCTCAACATTAACTCCAGCCTTGTTTCGGGAATTATACCCTCTGTTTTTAAACATGCCGTGCTTCAACCACTACTGAAAAAATCTGGCCTAGACCCAACTGACCTTGGGAACTTTTGCCCCATTTCAAAGCTCCCCTTCTTGTCAAAAGTGATGGAAAAGGCTGTTCAT